TCACCGGACCGGAAACGTTAACTCTGTTTTCTCCTCCACAGATGCTGCCAGACCTGCTGAGCTTTTCCAGCAACTTTGTTTTCGTCATTTCTTTTTATTATACTCATTGAAGGATAAGTATTAACCACAACACCATAGATAACTCCCTGGCTCTTCAAAAATGGGATCTTTTACCACATCAGAAGACAGGGCCTTGATGCAATGGCTTATCCTAAAAATGGGATCTCAGACAGTGCAGCATTCCATTAGTAGCAATGTTAAGTGTCAACCTCAATTTTTGTGCCCAAGTGTCTGGAGTGAATCTTGAATTCTCAGCATTCTGAGTGAGAATAAACAGTAGGAGCCTATCTTTAACAGGCAATGCAACATTATCCATACATTAGAAAGGTTCCTGTTAGGGACAGCAGGAGTTAAGTCACTAGTTTTATATTACAGAATTTAAAGATCCCACCATACTTTCTGCAGATCAAAGGATTCTGATCTATGGAGCCAGCATTTATCCCTCAATCTACATTCCCAAAGAGAGATCTTTTCCCTCATTTCTATTTATAGAAGCTTGCTATGTATAATTTGTCTGCCATCTGTTTATATAATGGTGACTACACTTCAAAAAGTCATGAAGCATTTTGTGACGTTTAGGAGTTCAACAGCAATACATAAACACAAGCTCCTGATCTGTTGGTGACCTTCAACAGATAATTAAAACTGCCACAAAAATCAGATCCACAAATATTCCACAGATTTCATTCTCAATATATGTTTATCATCAGTTTGGCTACTGCCTTATTAGTGTTTGTAGACCTTGCTGTGTAAAACCTAGCGGCCTAAACAACAGTGACTACTGTACAAAAAAATAGTTCACTAGCTGCAAAACACTTTGGGATGTCTTTAGAATGTGAAAGGCACTACATAAAACCAATAATTTCTTACTTATTAATTGCAACAGACAATCCATCCAACTTCCTGGTTATTCAAAAAGTACAGCCAAGGAAGTGACTTGGCAACTCTATTACTTTAATCATATATCCATATTTAAGACATTTGTTTAAAATGTGTTACCTCTTCACCAATATGGTCAATCCCATGATTATACAGCTCACATACATAATGTCGACGGATAACATCCTCATCCACTTGTAGGTTCTGAGACAGCTCCACCGCCACTGATGACCAGTCTTCCTTTTGTTCTTGATGAGATTGCTGTTCAGAAGTACATTCAGTCTTTGGAGGTTTGATTAGTTCTTTCACTGAAGCACTGACTAATTTCATGAGGAACTGGAGGACAACATTGATAAGTTACTCCATAAATAAGTAATTAATTGCATCAAGAAATGAGGCAAAATGCTACACGAATGTTGGTCCTTTGTTTTTCCTGATTTTGTATGTTTGAGAATGTGTCCAGTTTTGGAACACTTTACATTTTCAAGCACCTAATGTCAGAATTAGCCATTGAATGAAATCCAGTGCAATTTAGCACTAACATGACTTATTCGCATAACATGATCAAATTTTTTTTTTTTTTTTTAATTTCTTCATTCATGGGATTTGGGCATCACTGGCTTGGCTAGCCTTTATTATCCATCCCTAATTGCCCACAGGCCACTTAAGAGTCAACCACACATTGCTGTGGGTCTGGAGTCACATGTAGGCCAGACCAGGTAAGGATGGCAGTTTCCTTCCCTAAAGGACATTAGTGAACCAGATGGGATTTTCCTGACAAACAGCAATGACTTCATGGTCATTGTTAGACTATTAACTCCAGATTTTTATTGAATTCAAATTCCACCAACTGCCATGGCAGGATTCGAACCTGGGTCCAGCGATTATGCCACTAGGCAATCACCTCCCCTTAGTACCACATAAGTGACAGTTTTTGTGCAGATGTAGATACTCAGACCAACTTCACATAATATGAACTGAACTTGAACTTAATCAGTTTCTAAATGATTATAAATTGAAACAAAGTTTAAAAACAACTAAGGTTAATGTCAGTTTACAATCACTGAAAACTCAAAAATGCACCATTGTTACCAAGTACGGAATTAAAATTTTCATACATTTGTTTTCTCATTGTATTTAATGAGGCCAATAACAATGACAGTCTTCATGATCCACAATCTATTCAAAGATTTGCTTACCTGTTGTCTGAGAGACACTATGTTGGGATCCATTTCGCCACTTGGCAGCAGCTGGATTGACGTTAGCTCTTTGAAAAATGCATTTTTGCCCTGGAAGTAAGAATATAGCAAAAATATTAGACATTTTTTGTCCAGGACAACAAAATTCTTACAATTCATTAAGTTATCCTTTAAAGCAACTTCACTTACATTTCAAAACAGTGTTGACTGGCTAGGCAAGTAATATTTAATAATACAGTGAACTTGGAAGGAAATAATTAAAGTATAATGATTGCTGTGTGGAGAGAAATCAGGGTTAACGTTTCGGGTCCAGTGATAATTCTGAGGAAGGGTCACTGGACCCGAAACGTTAGCTCTGATTTCTCTCCACAGATGCTGCCAGAACTGCTGAGCTTGTCCAGCAATTTCTGTTTATGTTTCTGATTTACAACATCCGCAGTTGTTTCAGTTTTTATTCTCTAATATTAAATCTTCAGTTTCACACTCTTAAGAAAAGCAGATACATTTGTATCAGCAGACTTAAAACCCTTTTAAATGCCTACAAAACATTAAACAAGAAATTAGACAATACCTTACTGTCAAAGAGACTAAATATTTTGACAGACTTCATCCCAAACAGCATTATTCCATGCATAACAACAGCCAAAACATAGTGGTGCTGAACCAATGGGTAATGGACATGTCCTTGTTCTAGAGCCAGATCGACTATTGATGTTGGACCTTCCACAGATGACCAAGTATCTTCTATGTCTAGAGACGGTTCCTTCATTTCATCACAGCTAACTTCAGCCTAATACATTGATAATATTTTAAAAAGGGCAAATTAGTATCACATATAAAACTTTGTAACAACTATATAAACAAAAGAGTTAAACCAGCATAAAATTTCAATTACAGAATATACAGCAAAAAAAACTGGCCATTAGGCCAAATTTATCCTTGCTGGTATTAATGCCCTTTGTGAGCCTCCCCCTATTATCTGTACTAAACTATCAACCTTTTTACCTTCATCCTCTAGTGTTTATCTAGCTCCCTTGAAATACATCTATGCTTTTCTTTCAACAATTGTTAGCAAACATGAACTTAAAAATTAAAAAAGATTCAAAATTCCTTTGATTCGAGGCTTTTCTTCTACTCAATGAGTTTCAATTATTTAACAAACTCTCAGGTTAAAAATATCATAAAATGTTACATTTTCTACTTGTAAGTGCAGTCATTTTATTTTCACCTTGCCTTTTATAACAACTGTGACAAAAAGATGTTTTTCACATGTATATTCTTTGCCATTTGTTACATTAAGCATGGTGAAGGTTAATTATTGTTTATCGCAGGATGGTGTATGAATACTGTTACATTTTAAAAAGTCTACCTTGCTCATGAAGATGAATTAGGAGCAGAAGTTAGCCATTCAGTCCTTAAAGCCTGCTCTGCCAGTCAATAAGATCACAGCTGATTTGTATGTCTTCCACAGTCCCACCGATCCCCAATGACCATTAGGTAATGAATCGATAAGAATCTATCCTTACCCAAGAAAAGATATACTTGCCATAGAAGGAGTGCAGTGAAAGTTCACCAGTCTGATTCGGAATGGCAGTTTTATCATATGGGGAAAGACACTAGGTCAACTGTATTCAATGGAGTTCAGAAGATTGAGATGGGTCCTTATTGTTACATATTAAAATTCTGATGCGGAATGATGTTTTCCCTCACTGAGGTCTTCAGAACAAGGGATCACGGTTTCAGGATAGGTGATAGGCCATTTTGGACTAAAATGAGGAATTTCTTCACTCAGGGATGTGAACCTGTGGTATTCTCCACCACAGAAGGTTGGGGAGGCCAAGTCACTGAATAGATTTAAGGAGTAAATAAACATATTTCCATAAAATAAAGGTGTAAAAGGGACTTGGGGAAGAGAACAGAAGTATAGTGTTGAAGTCACGATCAGCCAAGATGATGTTGAATGGTGGAGTGGGCTCAAAAGGGCCTAACAATCTATTTCAGCTCCTGTTTTCTACGTTTCAACGAATCTGCCTACCTCCACCTTAAATATATTCTAATACCTCCAACGCCACCTGAGGCAGAATTCCAATGTCACTGCATACCCAACTAAACCCTCATTTCCCTCTCCACCTACAATAAAAATTTAGGACTAATTTCAAGACAACAACGAACTTTATTGCCAAGGTTGTCAAAGTGCATCTTTAATAATACGAATTTGCCAGACAAGACTGGAATATTTAAATTTTTCACATGCTCAAGCCAATACCATCCCTAGAAAATCAATTTGTAATGTTTCGCAATACATATGTTTATGACCATTACTGAGAAGACCAGATGTTTATGCTTGAGAACTGTTCCTTTCCACTTGCATACAACTTCTGCATTAAACACTCCTGGTTTAAGAAGGGATAGCAGTGAGTTTAAAAGTCCTACTAACGCACTTCTTTATTTCCAGTTAAAATTCCTATTGTTGCCAGTAGCAGCCTGTTGAGGTTCAGGATACTCAGTTTAATGATGTCTCATTATCTGGTTTCAAACACATTAGTGATTTGGTGGGCTGTTCAAGTCCAAATACAAAGAATTCCCAAAAGCTTCTAAATTGAAGGATTTTCTATACAACTGGCTATATGGATTGAAACACAAGTCCCAAAAGGTGAAAGCAACACTAACTATAATTGATTCTACAATAATTATACTTTTATGTAAAAATCATTCCAAACAGGATAACTTAAAATGTAAGTTCTTTACCTCCATTAAAGTTTGAAGGAGCAATGAGCAAGAACCAAGGAAAGAGGTCATGGAGGTATCACTCATGCCTACATCCTGTTCAGAAAAAGAAAAATCAAACTTTATAATAGGGCACTTAAAATCAGTCAACATTTCCCTTTGTTTTAAGAATGTTTGTAGCATGTTTCTCCTCCTAAGATCCCAATGCACCCTGTACCAGTCCATACTGAATGCATGGGCAGATGATTAGATTCCAAGCTTCTGGTAATAGAATTTTGCAGTACAGGAGGCCATTGAACCCAACATGTCTGTACTACTTCTTTAAAGCTGCCCAGCTAGTCCCATTCTCCAGCCCTACCTCCATCACACTCTAAAAATTAATCATTTCCTAATACGTCAAGCCATTTTTTTTTAAAACCACTTATAGATCAGCCTCCACCACTCTGCCAGGCAGCATATTCCAAATCCTAACAACTCTCAGTAAAGATGTTCCTCATCTCACTCAGAGCTCTTTTGCTGACAATCTTGAAATTGTAATGCCTATTTACTGACATAGCAACTAGAGGAAACTGAATACCTTTAACCTGTCAAAATTGTTAATTATTTTAAATAATGTCACCCCTTAACTGCTCTGCTCCAAGTAGAATAAGCCCAATTTCCCTAAGTTTTCCTTGTATCTAAAATCCCTCCATTCCTGGTATCATTCTAGTAAATCTCCTTTGCACTCTCTCCAGGGCTTTAGCATCCTTCCGTAAATAAAGGTGCCCAGAATCAAACACTATCCTCCAAATGCGGTTTGTAGAGGTGGAGAATCACTTCTGTGATTTTATACTCTATGCCTCTATTTATAAACCCAAGGATCATATAAGCCTTCTTAATAACGGTTTCATCTTGCCTGGCCACATTCTGCAAATTATGCACATGAACCCTGAAGTCCCTCTGCTTCTGTACTCCCCTCAAAGTTCCACCATTGAGCCTTTATTGTCTCTCCAAGTTTCTTCTACCAAAATGTATTACCTTACATTTCTTTGCATTGAAATTCATCTGCCAAGTGTCTGCAGTTTGGCCAACTTGTCAATACCCCTCTGAAGTCACTCAGTGTCATCCTCACAATTCACTATTCTCCCAAGCTTGGTATCATCTACATATTCAAAGATTTTGCCCTCAACACGCATCTCCAAATTGTTTTTTTATATATAAATTATAAAAGGCAAGGTCTCCAATACCAATTCCTGGGGAGCACTATTTTCAACTCCTCTCAAGTCTGAGAAATGCCATCCATACAGACCCTCTGTCTTCTATTAGCCAACTTCTAATCCATGCTGCAAAGGACTCAATCTCAAATATTTCTAATTTGCTAACCAACCTGCCATGTGGCACTGTAGGTCCAAATATACACACCATCCACAGCACTACCCTCATACACTGCCTGTGTCACCTCATTGAAAGACCTAACTAAATTTGTCAGACATGATCTGCCCTGGATAAAGCCATGTTGACTGTCTAGTATTAACTAATTTTTCTTTAAGCTTATGTTTATCTTATCCTGTATTATGGCTTCCATCAGTTTCCCCACTATTGATGTCAAGCTGATAGATCTGTCATTTCCTGTGTTATCCTTTGCCCCTTAAAGCAACAGCCCCGCATTTGCAATCCTCCTGTCCACTAGGATTAATGCTGCGTTCAGAGAAGCCTGGAAAATTTCTGTCAATGGGTCCACAATTTGCTCCCTTACCTCTCTCAGAATTCTAGGATGCATCCTATCCAGGCCTTGTGACTTCTCTACCTGCGGTGCTGCCAGCCTTTATGGTACCTCTTCTTTTTCTACCACTTTACTGTTCATATGCGGAATACCTACATTTTCAACTAGGCCATTGTCACCATCTTCTAATTTGTTAAGAACAGAAGCAAAGCATTCATTTAGTACCTCTGCCATATCCTTTGCTTGAGTGAGCAGTTTACTGTGCTTGCTCCTTATGGGCCCCACTCTATCCTTCACTAATCTTTTACTATTGGCATGTTTGAAGAACTTGAAGACTTTGTTTGAAGGCTTGTTTTAGTGCAGCCTACCATCCTTTCCTCATGCTTTCTCTCAGCCTTCCTTACTTCAGCATTAGCTTCTCTCCTACATTTGAGATCCTCTTCCTGATTTCTATTGCTATTATTATTCCGGTATGTATCACATGCCTCCTTTTTCTTCCTTATTTTCTCATCAGTACGCTTGATAATGGCTTTGAAAAGTATGCAAACAGCAACATAAAGCAGTGCCTCAATTTCTCCCCATCTCTAAGAAGAGCATTCCATTTTCCCAAATTCCCCCACTACAGAGTCGGGTTAGGTAACTTGTCAAGAATGGAGGAGAAACCTGGCAAAATTCAGTTCTAAGGACTGGTACACTGGAGCAGTGATCTTCAGCACCTCAGCACTATGAGATGCTATCTCTGTCCTAAGCATATCATTCCACTACATACTTCACAAACAGAAACATTTTAATAACAATGTCCTCTTTAAAAAAAAAAGGCAGATTTACAGGATCTGTAAAGTTAGTGAGTGTAATACTCCAGACTGGTTGACCAGAATAGTGTGTTAGAAAATATCAGTCAAACAGACTTGAAACAGAGCATCTGCGCAGTAATTAACACTCACTCAGTAGGCTGAACACAACTTCACAAGTTGCAAGGTTAAGACACCAGCTCGCAGATAAATTCAGAAGGTGGAGTTTGCAAGTCTTGGCAAAACGTTCATCCCTCACAGGAAACTGTCAGTTTTATTCAGCAGCACATTAGATTTCAATATTAAATACTGGCAGAAATCCATTAAGTTAAATTATATGTTTATTTAAGCTGAATCAAAGACTTCAGTATCAAAATTAGGTTTGAAAGAAGTTATCAATTTTTTTAAAGATGCTTTCTATATACTACTTGTTAGAACCCTCAGCAATTTTTCATGATTTCAATTTATTCTTATTTAATTTTCAATTCTGAGTTGGAAATGACTGATGGACTTTGGGACACCTAAGGATAAAAAGAACAGACGAAGGCAAGCTTTTTTTATTTGAGAGACCAGGTGTGGAGGCTAATGCAGGCTAAGCCTTGACTAAAAGGATCTAACAGACACAGTGACTACCAGGAGGAGAACTATATTTAAACAGATTCAGAAATTGGCTATTAACAAGGTCGGTACCTGGGAGTTGGTTCCAGTGAGTCTGAAAGACGCCTTATGTTCAAAAGATGGCAGTTGTTGAATGGAGACTGATGCCTCGGGGAGTGTCTATCGGAATGGAACCAAAATTAAAGTTCGTTTTTTTTTTTAAAATTGTTTTCTGAGAGATGGTTTTGGAATGCTGCTTCGACACCATGAAGATTTGAAAGCTCCCTACCTCATCTGCTACACCAGTTTCCAGAAGGTGAAAGGGTAGAAAGGTGAGTTAGAAGTATCACTGCCTTTGCTTGATCAACATTTTAGGAAAAAAAAACATCCAAGAAGTCCACATTTATGCCTGTCAACAATGCGTCCTGAAGGACATTTAAATAATCTGGCCAGTTTTATTATTTTATTTATCCCTCAACTGTTTGTTTACCTGTCTTTTCTATGAATGGGGCTGAAAACAAATGCTTTATGTTTAAAGCACAGATGTTCAACCATTTACAGTGCTGTTTAATTTTCTCATGGTTAACATTAGACTATACTTAATAAATTGTTAAGTCTTTTGTTTATGATATAAAACTGGTGTCTGGAGGTTAATTGTTCATTAAGTCTGGGATTGAGATTCAAGATTCTGGTTAGGAACCATTGGAGCGACTACTTGGGGATCGTCAACAATTTAATTTTACTGTGTTATAAATACAGAGGTAGAAAGGTTCAGCTGTCTATATCCGTGTCGTAATGTACTATGGTGCATTTTGTTGAACAACAAAGCTGATTGAAACACTGCAGGTTAATCTCACTTTCTCCTCCTTCCAGGTAAGAGAAAGATTCATCTCCATCTCTCTAGATTGGATTTAATTTCAGGTCCCAAACTTGATTATATTCTCACAGCCTATTTTATTCATTCATGGGATGAGGGCATCGCTGACTAGGCAGTATTTATTACCTAACCCTAATTACCCAGAGGGTAGTTAAGAGTCAATCGCATTACTGTGGGTCTGAAATCACACGTAGGCCGGACCAGGTAAGGGCAGTAGTTTCCTTCCCTAAAAGGACATTAGTGGACCCGACGGGTTTTTCCTGACAGTCAATAATGGTTTTATGGTCGTCATTAGACCCTTAATTCCAGATTTTTATTGAATTCAAATTCCACCATCTGTCATGACGGGATTCAAACCTGGGTCCCCAGGACATAGTTGGTCTCTGGATTAACAGCCCAGTGATAAGATGAGCTGTTGCCTCCTCCTGTCCATCCCATAACTTCAATTCAAAATAAACAAAGAATAGCTGGAAAAGGTTTCTAATGCCAGTGAAGAATTACCAATGCGATCTCCCAATATTTTCAAAATACTCACTCTTCTGCATAGTCTGTCTTTTGGTGCCTTGCCAACCTATTTAAAAAACATTGAACAGCTTTAATGCCCCTTTTCATCAATAAAAGTTAAATGACTAGAAATCTTATAACCCTTCAATTACTCAGTATGTAACAAACTTAAGTGCTCCAGGGAAGCCAGGAATAGAAATCTAGCAACCTACGTTGGTGATGCTGCTACCTATAAAACCTGGATGTAAAACATTTAGTGGCATTACAGCAATTTGGAAGCACCTAGTCACTGCAGCAACAGAATATTGTAGTTTGACAAGGTGCGCAAAAAAAAATCCTTACTTCTATACAATAGTCCAAAGATATAGCTAGTATTGCTTCCCTTTGACAATGGAGTATTTGTTAGTATTTCAGTCTTAACATTATTAATTAGTAAGTTTCAGATATCACTGATTTAAATGAAAATGTCCACTAGATGGCAACAAAAACAAAGAGCACGCAGTTCAACCAAAATATCATAGATCATAGAATCCTTCCACAGTGTGGAAACAGGCCCTTTGGCCCAACAAATCTACAATGATCCTCAGAGCATCCCACCCAGACCCATCCCCCTATAACCCATCTAATCTACACATCCCTGAACACTATGGGCAATTTAGCCTGGCCAATCCACCTAGCCGGCACATCATTGTACTGTGGGAGGAAACCCACACAGACACGGGGAGAATATGAAAACTCCACACAGACAGTTGCCCGAGGATGGAATTGAACCCGGGTTCCTGGCGCTGTGAGGCAGCAGTGCTAACCACTGAGCCACTGTACTGCCTGTGGGTTCCTTATTCAACTTAAGGAACCTTTTTTTAACCTTGGTTGTGAAATATTCTGTTCAATCCTGAAATGCAATTTTTCTACAAACCCTGTGATTGGTTTACAGGGCTTCTGTCCAGGACACGTTCTACATCACGCTGTCACTTTTTGGCATTATTGTAGACATCTGTTGGCATTTACTCAAATATATTCTGGAAGTTTGATTCAAGACTAAAGAGCATTTTATAATCTGTTACACTAATACTGTTTTCAATTTGATCTCTTTGCTACTTCATCTGTTTCTTATCATTTTTGTTACAACAATTTATCTAGTTAAACAATAATGTCAACATTACAATAGAAATTAAATATTCAGCTTTACCTTATCCATTAGATAAGCAGCGGCTGACAGTCTCTTTACAATAAAGGTGTTCCACATCATTACAGCAACTCCTGCAAATTAAAGAATGATTTATTGAGGTGGAGCTGATTACAATGACTCAGCCAAATATTTCAACCACTAAGAATAATATTAAAATTGAATATTTTAAGAAATAAGCTTGGGTTTAATATTTAAATGCTGCTATGTAAATATTTACAATTGAAATCATGCTTGTAACAATGGGGTTGTGGGTTTTATCCAATAAGCCGTAACGTGGAACTAAATTTCTGTAGTCTGTCACTTTGTTATTTCCTGTACTGCACCACTACCCTACCAGCTTGGGTGCCGTAACTGAAGTTTAAAATTTAATATTTCATTTTCTTTATCATCTTTTTGAAAAACAGTCGTTTTTTTTTCAATGACCTTGATATTCCACTCTTTCTGGTTTGTTTCATCTTTGAGTTTATGGATAAGCCCCAGTCTCTCACATCTGAAAAGTGCACCTATTCAGCACTTCACTTTATTGTTCTTCTGCAGGTTTAGGCACCCACTAGCACTACACTTGCTGGAAAAGATTACCCAGTTTACTTAGTAGCCCTCCTATTGGTTCATAATGCCAGTGTCTGTTTCGTAGGAACAAATAAATAGAAATCCAATGTCAAAATGACATCTCCTTACTACTTATCATATTGCTGGTGATTTTTAAAGATATAAATAATTCCATTGTTGCTACTGGCCACTGGCCATCACTGAAAGATCAATATTTTGATTGACTTAAAAAAAGTATGTTTCCAAGGTTTGAAGATTTGTACGCATGTAATCAGGAAAACTAATAGAATGTTGTGTTTTATTGCCGGGGAATCGAATGCAAGAGTAGGGAGATTATGCTGCAGTTATACAGGACATTAGTGAGACCATGTCTGGAGTACTGTGTACAGTACTAGCCACTGTACTTCCGCTAGGATGTTAATGCACTGGAAGTAGTTCAGAGAAGGTTTACTTGACTAATACCTGGAAATCAGCAGATAGCCTTCCAAGGAAAGGCTAAATAGGCTAGGCTTGTATCCTCTGGAGTTGAGAAGAGTCACAGCTGACTTAATTGAAACATACAAGATCCTCAGAGGATTTAACTGGGCGTTGCCTCTTGTGGGAGAATCTAGAAATAGGGGTTATAGTTTAAAAATGAGGGGTTACCCATTTAAGACCGATAGGGAAAAAAAATTGGGAACTCCCTTCCTCAAAAAGGCAGTGAAGGCAGAACCTTTAAGTATCTATAAGGCAGAGATTACTAATGGGATGAATTATGATCTTGGGTACAAAGGAATATAGAGTTGAGGTTAAAATCTGATCAACCATGACAGGTTAAGGTGGCCAAATAACAGAATTGCACAGTATTTTTGTATTTTACCTATGATTCTGAAAATGTTTCTTTAAAACTAAGTGGCCTTCATTATTATTATAGAGTCAAAAGATATATAGTGTGGAAACAGACCAGTCAGTCCAACTCATCCATGCTGACCAGATATCCTAAATTAATCTAGTCCCATTTGCCAGCATTTGGCCCACATACCTCTAAACCCTCCTATTCATATACCTATCTAGACGACTCCTAAAATGTTGTAATTGTACCAGCCTCCATCACTTCCTCTGGCAGCTCATTCCATACACGCACCACCCTGTGTGTGAAAAAGTTGCCCCTTCGGTCCCTTTTAAATCTTTCCCCTCTCACCTTAAACCTATGCCCTCTAGTTTTGGACTCCCATACTCTGGGGAAAAGACCTTGGCTATTTACCCTATCCATGCTCCTCATGATTTTACAAACCTCTAAAAGGTCACCTCTCAGCCTCCAATGCTCCAGGGAAAATAGCCCCAGCCTATTCAGCCTCTCCCTATAGCTCAAACCCATCGACTCTGGCAACATCCTTGTAAATCTTTTCTGAACGCTTTCAAGTTTTATATCGTCTTTGCTATGGCAAGGAAACCAGAATTGAATGCAGTACTCCAAAAATAGCCAAACCAATGTCCTGGAGAGACTCAGCAGTACCTCCCAATTTCTGTACTCAATGCACAGACCAATAAAGGCAAGTGTATCAAATGCCTTCTTCACCACCCTGTGTTCCTGTGACTCCATTTTCAAGGAGCTATGAATCTGCACCCCAAGGTATCTTTTCTCAGCAACACGCCTCAGGACCTTTCCATTAAGTGTATAAGTCCTCCTATATGATGGATTATTAATGTACTTAATAGTCATCACATTTTATCAACAAAGGGTATACATGAAGACACAGAGGGACAATAGGAAGAGTTGCTCATAGGTCACAAGTTTTTAACAGCAAAAACAAGAGCAAGTTGAAAACAGCAGGAGAAGGGAGGTAGCACTGAACTTATGGAACGAGGTTTGGAGTTTGGAGCAGGGGTCCTGGAATTGAATATAGCAATTCTGGGGTTGAAGAGAACTGAAGATGACTAGGTATAATTCAAAGCATTAATTTCCAATCCTAGCTGGTGTCTGGTTCTCAGACACATTAATATTTCCTATATTTATACACTTTAACTATGTTTATTGCATTCTGTCTGGTATAGAATAGCGAGTACTAACCTCGCTGAACGTGAGCATTGCCAATGCATTTCAGATGATCCACAGATACGCTCAGAAAACGATCTTCCTAGAAGTCAAAAGACAAAAACAGATGATACTGAGAAATCACATTTAAACTTTTATACAGAAAACCCCTTAAAAGTCAAATATTTACAAAATAATATTTTTGCATTGAGACATCAAATGCACTATATGCAATTCAAACAGAATGTAGACAGGGTATGAAAAGCCTTTAAATAACAGCATTTTATAGCTGCACATTCACAGCCATCATCTAATTGCAAACTGCTCTACAAAGTTTTTACTGAAAACTCTCTGGACACTCACAACTATGTTCATTCAGATATTTAACAGATACACACAATCGGACACAGAGCCAAAAAGAGGAAAGGCAAGGCGTTGTGATGAAAAATTTAATCAGGGAGGGCCTAGAAGTGTAAGTGGTTTCCAGTGAGAATTCTACAGTTTAGGATTTTGACAAACAGCCACGAATGACAGGTCAAAGGAAGAGAGGGACTTAAGAATTGAAGTTATAAAGAGTTTTCAGAGTAGTTGGGCTGGAGGAGGTTACAGGGATTGGTAGGAATAAAACTACAGAAATGAGTGAACACAAAGATGATACTTTAAATCCGAGGTTCATGTGGACCAGAAGACAAACCAAGCACAGGGGAAATAAGTCGGCAGGTTTTGCAAAGTTTTGGTGAATTGAAATTGGTGGAGAGTGGAGTATGGAAGGACAGCATTAGGACTGTTAACGTTAGAGGTAACGGAGTAGTGGGTGGGCAGTCTTCATGATGGTAATGAAATGGTTTTGGAAGTACCGCACTGGTTCAATAATGATATCAACGTTTCAAACAGTTTTATTAAACAACAGCAAGAAAAAGCAAATGGAATTGGACATGAGATTATGGAACACTTGTGGAAGGGAACACTATGTAACTGAGACATAAATGATAAACTGCAAGAGTGAAACAGAGTTACCCTTCATGCTTTAAGAGGTGGAGCTGGACTATTAGCCCAACAAGATAACAGGAGGAGGATCCTAAAATGATCCAACAATTCAGCAAGGTCTCAATGTTTATGATTGGAACAAAAGAGCTGCTTGAGCTCGGTCTCATATTTTTATGTCTATCCAAAATGCATAGAATATTAATAGAAAACCTTAACATTGCACTTTCAGCCTGCAGATTTCTCACTCATAATATTATTAGCTAGAACTCAGACTTTGTATAATGAAATTCAAATACTGAGTTAGTCATCATTTGCTTTTGGAGTGCTCATTAAACTAATGGGCATCTGCGAGCTGCCTGTTACTGTATTTCCCAAAACAAATGTGCTTGCAGCAAATAGCAGTCAATTTCAGAATACGTTTTTGCTTACGTATTAAAAGTCAAATATCTTGAAATATATTTTTTGAAATACAATTTTTCATTGGTATCATAGACAAACATTACTGCCACAATAGGGGGAAGTTCTTGAAATAATCTTTACCACTTACAACAATTATCCTCTAAAGTACAATTATTTAGTTCACAATCCTTTTATGACACAAACTAGAGTGCAAATTTATATGAACACTGAATTTTAACTCCTCCTATGCTAGCTTTCACGCAGTTGTTATTTTAACACAACATAAAGATGCCATTTGGTGAATTTTATCATGTACAATATTACAGTTCGTATAATTTGAAAAGTTGTATATTTGTTTTTACCTCTGGATCTTTGTTCCATTGCACTACATATTCCCAACAACAATGGGCATGAAGAGCATCAGATTCTAGACTGCAGGGGAATCGCTCATAAGCCAGCTGGAGCAACTCTGTAACAAATAAAACATATTAAACCCCCATTTTAGACTCCAGTTCTAAATACACCCACCAGTGGAAACAACCTCCCTGCTTCTATCCTATCTATTCCCTTCATAGTTTTATATGTTTCTATAAGATCTATCCCCTATTCTTCTAAATTCCAATTTATATTGGCTAAATTACAGATACAAACATTAATAGTAATGATTAATACAAGATAAACACAAGATCAATCTGCTATCATTGCAGGCCTGTTATTCCTGCATGATCTTCTTTCCAAAGTGAAGTGGCTGAAGATGAAGTCAGAGCTGCAATGGCTTTTACCATCGGTTATAGCACTTGCAGATTGCCTGGACTCACAATAGAACTGACGTGTGGTGCTTCCCAGTAGCTGCACAGCCACATAGCTTAGCAGGAACGTTGCCAAGGGGCTCACCTTTAATCAGAAACCTAACTAGGCCAACAAAGTAAATACTTTGCCTGCAAGAATACATCAACAGATTGCATTTAATGTGGCTAACATCTCACTTCCTGGCTGTCCAAAGCCTTTCCACAAATAAAATGTATTTGAATAAATATTCCCCTCTGTGACAAGCAAAACTCAAACTGTACTCAGTAATTTTGACACTGTCCAGTGCAAAACAGATCCCTTGATTGGTATCCCAAGCACCACAGATGTGTGTCTATGGTGTAAACCATTTACACGACACAATGCAGCAAGTCATTAAAGCTTTTCCAACTTTTTCAAAGTTGATCTGTACCACAAAGGGACAACAGCAGATGATGGATGGAAACACCACCACTGCATAAAGCTTTCCAAAGAGATACACCACCCTGATTTGGAAATATGGTTGTTTGTTCATCGTTGCTGGGTCAAAATCCAAGAACTCCTTCCCATTAGCTATGCAGGTATATCAACACAACAATGGCTGCAACAGCTCAACTCTATTGCTTTGTCAAGGTCAATTGCAGATGGCCAAAACGCTGGTCAAGCCAGAAACATCCACACAGCATGAATATAGTCAAATAAATTGAACAAGTTTTGAAATTTTTTGGGTGATGCTGATAGAAGTGTAGTGAATTGCTTGGCCCTACCCCCTCCCCATTCCAAATGACTTGAAAACTGGCTGATCCGCTGGGATAACACAGTCCGTCAGTGGAAGACGTTAAACCCTTGAGAATTCCAGGACAATCTGATGAATCGTGAGCTCTTTGGTCCCAGCACCACCAGAACGCAGTAGTGAATGCAGCTGCATGCCCCAGTTTGAAGAAGAAGAAGAAAGCCTAGAATAAGGACTAGGACTGTTCAGGATCTTTGTGAGGGGATGTACTAGACACCGGGGGGAGAGTTGGGGGAAACAGGGTTTTGGAGGCTGGGAGAAAGGCATAAAAAGAAGACATACCATTTATTTTCGTGTGGGAGGGTGTGCGGTTTGCCCCTGCTCCACACAGGGCACCCACCACAAAAGGTGATATGCCTCTTTGTGTTCTATTTTCAAAGCTGGTGAAAAGAAAACACTTGCCCAGTCTTATCCACTGACAGTATTATGACACCAGGGATGAAATTAAGACCTTAACTCAAAAGGCACAAGATTCTGGTGGTGGGGGTTAGGCACCTTACCCATCTACCATATAGTGAAGAATGAATCAGGGCTAGGTGAAAAAGCCATGGGCTAGCCATCTGTCATACTTTAGAGATAGTAGGAACTGCAGATGCTGGAGAATCTGAGACAACAAGGTGCAGAGCTGGATGAACACAGCAGGCCAGCAGCATCGTAGGAGCAGGAAGGTTGACGTTTCGGGCCTAGACCCTTCTTCAGAAAAGAAGAAGGGTCTAGGCCTGTCATACTTTAGACACGTGCCTCCCCACACCTATCACGCCCTTCAGTTGGAAGTAGGGCCCATCTTTAAAACAATGAGAAAAAATAAAGACCATCAATAATAGTTTTAGTGTATCCATTATAGAGAATTGGTAGGACACTGCTCACTCACTTACTCAGCTGGAGAATAAGACAAAAGCTAAATATTGGCAGAAAACAAAATAGATGCAACAGCGTGATCGCATATCATTAATACTGGCCGAGGAGCTACTTCTGGGATTATGAACTATATCACGTGCAATAAAACAATTTATATTCTACCTGGCAACAAGACTTTTTAAAGTACAATTACTGTCCTCCACTGTCTGTTTGATGAATATTACTTGAATAGTCGAATGGATTATCAATTTTTTTTCTTAATAACCTTACTGCTCATAATCACGCAATATATTCATTAATGTTACAGTGAAATTAATAAACACTGTTCTCACCAAGTATCCTTTTTAGGTCAAGCTCTTTGTACTTCTCACTTATAAGAACGTTGTTCTCCCCTTCCATTGGTTCTTCTGCATTCTCTAATTCCTTGGGTTGATGGGCCTGTTTCAGGATGCTTGGAACAAGATTCAAGTTGAAAACCCATTTTGCCACACCATCAGCAACAACTCCTTAGAAACATAGAGGAATATAGATTGTTAATGACAATAATCTCAGAAAAATTAAACGTGAGTTAATGAAATTCAACACCTTTTGAAAGTAGAACTAATTTTAACACAGGCTCAAGACACTACCGTTAAATATTTTCAGGGTGCCAGATTACTTATATAGAGGGTTTCACAAACGTTGAAGAAGTCAGAATCTACAATAAATCAGAACCAATCATTAATGCTGAAAACAGATCAACACAAAGAAAGGAAGAAGTTAAACTTGTAATTCACTGTGTTTGAGAAAAGCAAATGAAAGCAATGGTTTAAAACAAGTGTAGAGTCACCATCACAATCAGCATCAGGCAGACCTAAAAATTAGAAGTCAACTTGATATAGCTGTAAAACAGACCTACTTATGTACCAAATAGCACACATAGCAAGCAACAGACGGTGAAATATATTCCACAATCAACAAATCGGATCTAATCTCCGCAATCCTGCCATATCTAGTCATGAATGATGATGGGTAAAATTAAATAATTTACCGAGGAGGAAGCTCCATAAATATCTCCTTTACTGCTTGCTTTACTGGCACCATATCCTTAAATATTCACGCCCTCCATCCCTAATGCACAATTACAACACTGTACACCATCTTCAAAATGCATAGTGGCAATTCATTCAGGATCCTTAGATAGTACCTTCCAAACTCATAAGCATTTTCATCTAGAAAAATAAGGGCAGAAGATAACAGTCTGCCAGTTCCCTTTCAAGCCACTCAACATCCCGATTTGGAAATTTATTGCCATTCCTTCAGCATTGTTAGGTCAAAATCCTCTAACTATCTATTATAGCATCGAGAGTTCACCTACGGTATCAATTAAAACAAATCTAAGCAAATTCTACAGTAACAGGCGAACAAAATGGAATACAGCACATTCAAGCCTGGTTGAATAATACAGCAACTTGGCTAGCATGATAGATGATTTTGCTAAAAGGCGAGGGTGACTGGCAAAGCATCTAGTTATTTCTTCACCTCAATTTTGTTTGATTTTACATTAATATCAAGCACTGCTTTCAAAATATGAAATAGGATATATCCTTTTGCACACACTTGCCTATAACAAATTCTTCACTGTCAGAACTGACTCGCTAGGAGTCTGAGAAAATAATTTTCCCTGTGGGTGGAATCTAGAACAATTAAAAAAAGGCCATATTGAATTTTCATAAACACACTTTCAAATCTGTAAATTAAGATTCATAAATTAAAATAACTGAATCACAAGTCCATGTAAATTCAGAAGGTTCTGGATCGAATCATTATGAAACTGGGTAACTCTGACAGCAAGGGCACAATCCTTTTCTTAATTATGTTTGGACAGCAAAACAATAAATGATCTGACAAGGTCAGTAAAAGACACTCCAAAGCAAACCGGTGTATTTTTAAATGACTGTTTAGCAGCAGTCTTCCTTCACTAGGATACGGTTTAATTTGATTTGTTATTGTCCTATGTACTGAGGTACAGTGAAAAGTGTTGTCTTACGTGCTTTACAAGCAGGTCATACAGGCAGTTTGCATGATGTGCAGACAATACTGAAACAGAGAATGTCCAAGTGAAATGTTAAAAAGCTTAAAAAAAAGATCTCAAATCTGATTGAACTGCTGGGTCTAACACCACTCACTCCAGAATGCTGTAAGTAAAAGTGGGAAATGTGTGAATGAGCCCTGGCCTTATGCATTTAACAATTAAAGACTGGAATTAACATTGAACTGGTGGGGAGGTTAATGGAATAGCAATATTTAAAGAAGAGGTGGAAAGGTGGAACCAACAGAAATTTACTAGCAACACTCAAGTTGGCAACGGAGCTAGCACATGCATTGTTAAAGACTCCCACGGTTCCTGGAGGCAATTAGATGCTACAGTTCAGAGGAGGTGCAAGGGAGTAAAGAAATTTGTGTTTTTTATACCTGAAAATTGACAAGTTGGCATGAATGATCATCCTTTTCTACATTTATCTTGTGACCTCAAACGACTTGTTTAGAAATACAACATAAAATCAGAACACATTATAATTCAACTGTTAGATCAAAACAGCAATTCCAGGTAATTTGTAGCTAAACAATCACACTTTATTGCTTGTCAAAAATAGTTATCAACACTATATATCCAAGGTGTAACAATCTGCTCAAACAGCAAAACTAATTTTTAATCCTCTTATTGTTCAACTGCAATAGCACTCTTGCTTCTAAGTTAAAGGGTTTTGGGTTCAAGATCCACTGCAAAGCTCAAGTAAAAATTAAATCAGGCCCAATACCGAGGAACACTGAACTACCGGGGGTGTCATCTTTTGGATGATGCATTAAAGTAAAGCCCTACCTGGCCAATTACTTGCTCTACCTTCTGTGATTCACGCACTAGGACATCCAGATCTCTCTGCATCTCCAAGTTCTGCAACATCTCACTATTTAGATTATATGTTTCATTTTTATTCTTTCTGCCAAAATAGAAAATTCATAATTTCCCACATTGTTCTCCATTCACCAGGCTGTTTCCGACTCTCAACCAATCTACTTCCCTTTATAGATTCCTTACGTCCTCTTCACAATTCAGTTTCCTATTTATCTTCGTGTCATCAGCAAATTTAACTATTTTACCTTCAGCCCCTTTGTCCAAATCCTTTACATAACTGATAAGCGTTGAGGCTCAAGCACTGATCCCGATGGCACATCACTTGTGACATCTTGCCAGACTGAAAAAGACACACTTATTCCTATACCTGCCTTCCTGTAAGCAAACTTCTGTTCATTCCAATATGTTACCACCAACAGCACAAGCTTTTATTTTCCACAATAACTTTTGATGTGGTACATTAATCAAACAACCTTTCGAAAATCCAAGTGCAATAAATCCACTGGCTCCCCTTATCCATCACAAGTTACTTCTTTAAAGAACTCCAATAAATTAGTTAAACGTATTCCCTTTAACAAAACCATGTTAGCTCTGCCTGATTGCCTTGAACTTAGCCAAATGCCCTGTTATTACATCTTTAATAAGAGCTTCTAATACTTTCCCCATGACAGATGCTAAGCTAACAGGCCTGTAGTTTCCTGGTTTCTGCCTCTCTCCCTTTTTGAATAAAAGAAGTTACATTAACTATTCTCCAATCTAAAAGGAACTTACCACAAATCTCTCGAGTTTTGAAAAATTAAAACCAATGCATTAACATCTCATGGGCTACCCTTGGATAAAATTAATCATGAACTACTTTCCTTGCAATTGTAATTTTCTTGAGCTCCTCCTTCCCTTTCAATTCCAGATTTGCAGCCATTTCCATGACATTACTTGTATCCTCCCTAGTGTAGCCTGCTGTTCAATTCACCTGCCATCTCTTTATCCTCCATCACTAACTCCTCAGATTCATTTTCTCTAGGACCAACACTTACTCTGTTAAATATCTTTTCTATTTGAAATGCCTGAAGAAGCTTTTCGTATCTGTTCTATATTTTGGCACCCAGCTCTCATATTCTAATTTTTCAGTTCCTTATTAATCCTTCAATAATTCTTTGCTATCTTGTTTTATATTGCCCAATCTTTTGACCTGTCACGTATTTTTGCACAATTATAGTTTTTCTTTGAGTTTGATACTACCTTTGACTTTATTTAAATGGTGAACCCACAAATGGTGGGTTTGTCCTTGAGAAATTTTGTTGTTACAACGCATCTATTTTGCGCTTTCTATAATATCACCTCAAATGTTTGCTAATGCATCTCTATAAACATATCCCTTAACTTAAATTGCCATTTAAATTTTGCTAGCTATTTTCATGTCCTCATTTAAATTGAAAATAATAGTTTTGGATCTGCAGTGCTCTCCCTTAAAGTATATGTAAGATTCAATCATATTATGATCACTTTTACCGTAAAATCAGGTCTAATATACAAAAACATAAATCGCTAGAAAAACTCAGCAGGTCTGGCAACATCTGTGGAGAGAAATCAGTTAACGTTTCAGGTCCAGTGACCCTTCTTCAGAGCCTTTTACGTGGAAGATATGGTGGGGGGGAGGGGGTAAGAAGTAAACGATAGGCGGAGATAGAGCCCACAGGCAGAGGAAAACCATTGGACACAGGATAGTATAGCCTTCTCTCTAGTTGGTGTGAAAGCAACCCCATCCAAGAAATTGTTCTGAAAACTGAATCAATTCCTCACCCAGAATATTTTTCCAGTCTATGTAGGTTAAACCCCCATGATAATCACTGCAACCTTTTGACAAGTTCCCATTTTGCCTCTGTTTAATGAAGCACTACTCCAACTGAAATAGTTCATTTCTCTAACTTTCAATCATTTCACAGTAAAATACTAAAACACTAAAATATTATATGCCTTAGTTAGAACAACACAAAATGCTATTGCAGTATGCATTTATTTGCAACCAAAATGGTCAAAGTAGTTTGGTAAAATGTTTTGCTGTATCACTTCTTCATTTATAGCACGCAATTAAGTACATAGTTATTCAAAAATGTTGAGGTTATAACATGGTTTGACTTTTGTTTCATTCTTGCATTTGAAACTTTTACCAGAATCGCCAGTTTTAAGTTTTTGATTTTCAGTTAGGCAGATACCCTCAGTGTTTCTCAAAATTCTTAACCACTGAAACTGAGCCATTGCATGATTGAACCTTCAGCTAAAAACCATTATTTTAATGCAACTGGATAAATGGAATTACTTTTCACTGGCACAGATGTCTCTAAAAACAGAGACAATGAACTTACAGGGTTAAAACAAAAATTATTAAACTGGACAGAATGAAAAGCAAGGTGGCAAAAGAGGAACTTAGTTGACAAGCGTGAGAAAGACAAAATCTAGAAATCAAAGTCAAAGTTATGCTAATATGCAATTGAAGAAAATTGAAATATTGAGAAACGTCAACTTTCCTGCTCCTCTGATGTGCCTGGCCTGCTATGTTCCTCTAGCTCCACACTGTTATCTCTGACTCCAGCATATGCAGTTCTTACTGTCTCTGACAAAAGCATTGTTAGTGTCCAAGTCAGCTGCCATGCTTAAGTTAGGGAGGACCACCTTGGGAAACATCAGAAATCCTTTTCTAGGCCTTGAACTAAATGAGCAAAGCTTTGAGCACACACAAGGAACAAAGCTCCTACCTCGACCACCTTCCAAAAGCTTTTTTACAGAAATACTGGCAAGTGGTTCAGAATGTTGGCAGGTTGTACTGGATGTTTTTTTCCCTTTGCTGTGCAGCAACGTTTGTAAAATAAGGCAATCCTCAAGCTGTCTCAGTAACAGATTCCAATGTTCCATATCGAGAGACAATGCTTCCCAAGAATCAGTCATTCCATCTGAAATCTGAACTTCCACCTGTTGGGAAACAAAAGCTGAAAAAGTCAGAAGTAAGGTGGCACAGGAGTAAAAAGTTGAATGAAAATCCAACTAACTTTAAGAAAAGGTAAAACAAAATAATGCACCCCACTGAATTCAAATTCCAGCAACAGAAATTAGTTTAGAGTTTGTTGACATGCTCGCCGAGCTGGCATGTTTTGGTTCAGACATTTCATCACCATGCTAGGTGACATCATCAGTGGAACCTCCAATGAAACAATGTTATTCTACTCCGCTTGGAATTTATACTGTCCGGTCCGTTATGGTGAGTAGTGTCATTTCCGGTTTTGATTTGTATGGGTTTGTATATGGGGTCCAATTCTATATGTTTGTTGATTGAAGTTTGGGTGGAGAACCATGCCTCTAGGAATTCCCATGCGTTTCTATGTTTGGCTTGGGCTACTATGGTTACTTTGTCCCAGCAATGGACTGCAACCCTAGAACAGGCCATCACCATCAATCAACACAAAACCAAAACTAAGAAGAGACACGAACTACAGGGGAAACTCACAAACTGATCCACCACAAAAACAAGGACAACAACAAACTGGACACATGGATAAGAAACCTATCTAAGAGACAACTCAGAGAAACTGAGAGAATTGTCCTATTACGGAGACTGAACTATAACCACAAAGATGCAAACAGAACAGACTTCATGGCCGCTCCGGAGAATACATTAAAAGACAGAAAACTCACAGACGAAACACAACAAGTCATCCGACAAACTATAATCCCCATACTACATAGAAAGAACAAAGGGGACGACCTGAACACAGCAAAGAGAAAAGCACTAGATAAACTCAGAAAAGACAACAACATCATAATCCTACCAACAGACAAAGGGCGCATGACCGTCATTATGAACAAACCAGACTACTTTAAGAAAGCACAGACATTGCTTGCAGATACAACCACTTACCAACAAGTGGCGGTAGACCCAACACCACAGCTCGGTAATAGGATCACCCAGACACTGAAGCGACTAATGAATGCAGGCAGATAACCAAGACAGACTTAATGAGAATGCATCCAGAAGGCACAAACACCCCCGGCTTCTATGGGCTGCCTGAAGTACACAAAACAAACATCCCTCTCAGACCCATTGTCTCCCGGACAGGCACACCGTCACACAAATTGGCCAAGGACCTACAATAGAGATTGAAACACCTAGTAGAAAGATCACTCCATTCTATCCACTCAACCCAATATTTCCTCAATACCCTCAAGGACATAAAAATCAGCAATGACGAAATTATGGTATCCTCTGACATCACAGCTTTATTCACATCAATTGACATCCCACTAGCCAAAGAAACAGTGGCCACATTACTAGAGGAAACAGCAACGCAGACCAGCAGCTCCATCAGCAAGAACAACATACTTAAATTACTAGACCTCTGCCTCACCACACACTTTGTCTTTAATGGTCAAATATACAAACAGATCAACAGTACACCAATGGGGTCACCTATCTCAAGACTCATCGCAGAAGCAGTCACGCAAAGACTAGAACACACTACCTTCCCTACATTCAACCCAAGCTGTGGATCCAGTTTGTCATTGTTAAACACAACAAATCAGAAGAGGCTCACCACCTCATCAACAACAACGTATGCGCAGCACAGTGGCTCAGTGGTTAGCACTGTTGCCTCACAGCGTCAGAGACCCCATATACAAACCCATACAGATCAAAACCAGAAATGACACTACTCACCATAACAGACCGGACAGTATAAATTCCAAGCGGATAGAATAACATCGCTTCGTAGGAGGCTCCACTGATTAGGTCACCTAGCATGGTGACAAAACATCTGAACAAAATCAAGCCAGCTCGGCAAGCAAGTCAACAAACTCATCCACAACCCTAGTTACAGATCTTTGCCAAAACATTAATTTAGAGTGATCAGCTCCTCAAATACAGCAAAAATTCATTAATTCAACTGTCCAAATGCCTGCCAAGTTTTCTTCAACCTCAGCTGTTCTTCTACTCATGCAGATTTTTATATTTAAAGGTTTTCAAGTAGAACCAGCTCGGCGAGCCAACCAACCATAAGATTTTTGTATTGTTTAATATCCTCCATTGAGCTCTGCCAATTTAGACTCAAGCCTGAAATTGAAACTGTTGCAGCTTCCCCAAGGACCAGGGATACAGAAAGGCATTTTCTTCCGTATTATGTCCAAGTAACCACAAGCCAATTTTCAAACAAAAGGTGAATAATATTCATCAAGCATAGCACAAGATTCCAAAAATAAATTCCAAAGTAATTATCAAAAATAGTGAAGTGACACACATGAACTCTGTAAAGCAGAAGATCATGAGATAACTTTTGCAACAACCAGTACTACAGAATGAAATGCTTATTGGTTTGTTTCAAAAATTTAACAATAAACGGAAGTTCCACTCACATCTTTTTCAACCAGGCTGTTTGTTGCACTGATGGCCACACTTCTTCCAACAAGTGCAGCTAACAATGCAGCTCCAACATTCTCTGACTGTGCACACACAGAGCGCATCTGTTGCCACCATGGATTCACTGACTGAAGGTCCCATGAGTTATCTACTGCACCTGCAGGGAAACATGAATTTCAAATTACAATTGGATTAACAATAACTTCAGATTTTGTAGCTTTTAACGCAACTGCCTATGAACAAGCCAGTACAAGCAGGCACAGGCACACAGACAATCAGATCTACAATCCTGTTATACAGCTACACTTAACATTCCTTCAAAGTAAGCACTCAACATGAAGAACCCAAAGCAGATGCTCTTCAATTAAATGAAATATATTTCTGGCAGAAGGGGTTACAAATTCAAAATTGTGCAATGGGGGCCCAAATTAGGCTTCTTGCTGGGGATTAAGTCCAATGTTGACCAGAGATTTTCAGCATTAAGGAGACCTGATCATGAAAATGGAGTCAGGAGCAGCTTCATCAAGCATGCAAGGGTTCTTATAGCATAGCTTGTGATTCAGCAGGAGCAGGTAAGCTCATATGCCACAATTCTGTCACAATTGGTTGAACGCACCATCTAAGACCACAACCTTTGGTGACACCTCACCCAAAGCAGCCCCGCTTAATCTCTACTTCCTTAATTGTTTATACAACTTCCTTTTGATCATTATTATTGAATCAGCATCCCTCAGCTTTTAAAGCAGTCCATTCCGTATCACAGTAGTTCAGAGTAATTTTCGTTTATCCCTCATATTGCATTTAGTTCTTTCACAGTTGTCAATCCTTCCACCCCAAGAACAGTTTCTCCTTGCTTGGTCCGTGAAAATAATTTCTTGTTATAAACTCATCTGTCGAAGCTCCTTTCTCTTAACTTGGGTGAATACTTGATAAAATTGTTGAAAGCAGTTGTGTGTGCAGATTTGGGAGAAGAGAAAGAGCATTGAAGCCAGAGAGAGTAGCAGAATGATCTCCTCTGTACTATAACCATTCTACGATTCTACCTTTTAAACCACTGTCTACGTCATATTTGGAATACTGCCTTCCATTCTTGGTACCATACTTTAGGAAGGACCTCAAGACTTTAGGGTAGTTCCAAAAAGAGATTAATTAGGATATACATTGGATGAGAGACTTCAGTTATATGGGATGATTGGAGTAGCCGGGGTTGTTCTCCTTATAGCAGAGACGGATAATAGAGATATTCAAAATTATGAGAGCTTTTGATACATTGGAGTGACAGTTCCATCTGTAAGAGGGCCAGGAGTCTTAGGTCACAAATTCAAAGTATATAGCAAAAAAAAAAGGAAATAAAAGACATCCCCTCCTCACCACAACAGAGTTGTGATGACCTGAAGCTTCCTTAATTCTCCAGAAACTAACGCTAAAATTGGCTAAATGCTCTTGGTTGCAAGATAAATACAAAGGGCGTGTAAACATTCCTAGATAGTGTTGCCAAATAAAGATCCAAAGAATAAAATGTTTGGAATGATTTTGATAAATTCCAAAACAGACCAAATTACAGCACTTATTTTCACACTCAAATTGTTTTTGGGGAAAAAAATTAACGGAGAAAATAAGATAGCTTTTTTTTTATACAAAAGCACATTGTGGTATTATTATTTGTTACTTTTCAAAATTGCTGTGGTTGAGAATGCTGTGAAAGTTATGACTATTGTGAATCCCTTGTGGAATCACTACATCTTTGGTGTTGATGGTGTTGATAATGAGTTCAAAATATTGACACAGAATTGGCAAACAATGGTGTATATTCAAAACAGGATGGCATGTGATTTGACAGAAGCTTGAAAGTACTGCACTACTGCTTTTGTGCTCTTTACTAATGAGAGGCTGAAAAAAAGGCAACTGCTTTTGAACGAAGTTTGACAAATTGTTTCAGTGCATCCTGTACAGTGCATACAGCAGCCACAGTGTGACCGTAATGGAGAGGCTGATAGCAAATCCAGTAGCAAGTGAGCTCCTCTGCCCTAGAGAACAATAGCTAAGTGTTTCTGAAATTGCGTTTAGCCAGGTAAGTGGAAACTCAACAGATCTGTAGACAGTTAACATTTTGAGTCCAGAGGTTAACTCGGTTTTTCTCTCCATAGATGCTGCCAGACATGCCGTGTTTCTCCAGCACTTTGTTTTTAAAAATAAACCACAAAGTTACTTATTGATAATGAATAATCAACACCTTACCTTTCATCTGGTTTAAGACAGACAACGTAACGTGGAGGTAGTGAATTGAATCCTGGTTCTTGAGAATTTCTCTCTCTTTAAACAGCCACATACTGAGAAGTAAAGTCTGGAGACAGACAGCAAGACAAAGAAAATACTTGTCATTAAAGCTGCTCTGTGACTGTCTACTGTGTTATCTCCAAGTCATAGTAAAATAAGTCAAATATTATCATACTCCAATGTTGACAATGAAGTATATAACCCTAATCCCATAACATTGCTGGTGAGGGGAATATTCATTAATTGATTTCAATATGATTTAAACTACAATATATAGGAGGAAAAAAAGTGGCTATTAAATCATTATACTAATATGAAATCAAATAATATACATCAAAACGGTAAAGACTTTGGTGGCTGATTTAAAACTTGGTATGTAATATATTAACAAATACTTTGCTAAGAAACTTCCCATCAGAAGAGTCATTGGAATCAATGATATTCAGTACTACCACTGTTTCCTTGATAAATCATGGAAAGATAATGCCACACTAAAGGAAAATTTATTATTTTCATGGATAATTATTTACTGAATTCTATCAATTTCCAACAAGAGAGGAATTGACAGGTTTGAACCTTTGGAACCGCAATAGAAATGGTTGCTCAGTACCGTCATAGACCTTTAAGCATAATGTTTCATAGCTCAACGTAAATTGAATAGAGTTATTTCCCAGACATGCCTGCTAGCAATTTTTGTTTGCTGTGGGCTGGGTTTCTTCGCAGCCAGTTCATGTTTTACATCCTATTAATACCATTTCACAAACTGGCAACAAATACAGAGCTGGGATTTATAACAAAAAATATAAACCTGGGTTTCTTTTTCACTTATCTTCTGATGTGGATGAAGTAAAGACAAATTTATTTACCTCATGAACCTGCATGTACCAGAAACTTACCAAGAATTGTTGAGGCCTGGCTCCTGCAGACTCCAGCAAATGGCACACTTCCTCTGCAGAGCTTTCCCCACAGAGACACTTCCAGAAAAAGAAATCTCCTGCAACAAAAGAAAAAAAAAAGAACATATAAATTTCATTTCAGTTGGACTGCTGAACTCTTATTATATTTTTCACCCAATACCAAGCAGTTTACATTAACTGTAATAAAGACAAGCCATCAAATATGCCAAATGAAAGCACACAAGAACAATTTATAGACATAACTTAGAGCACTGAGGAAAAAATGTGCACATATAAATCTTGTATAAATATCTTGTATATCTTATAAATCTTGTGTTTGACATTTTCCAAGTAATTGAATTAGATGGGATGCTGCATTACCTAAAGAGAGGCAAGTTCAGACCATAAGTTATAATGCATAATCAAAGCTAGTTTCCAATTTAGTTAAAAAAACTGAAAGAACTGCAGATGCAGTGAATCAGGAACAAAAACAGAAGTTGCTGGAAAAGCTCAGCAAGTCTGGCAGCGTCTATGAAGAAAAAAAATCAGAGTTAATGTTTTGGGTCTGGTAACTCTTGCAGGTCTGAGGAAGGGTCACCAGACCTGAAACGTTAACTCTGATTTTTTCTTCACAGATGCTGCCAAACCTGCTGAGCTTTTCCAGCAACTTCTGTTTTTGTTCCAATTTACTTATGCAAGTCTGTCAAAAAATTCACTAATCCTTACCTGTGGCAACACAAATAATGTTTCATTAAGTATATTTGTCAAGTTTTGCTATCTTTTTAAACATGCAAAATGTTTCTGCACTGTGTACTGTCCAGTCCTTCTCCATTCACAAATGCTAACCAAACCTCAAAGAGAGGTGAAACTCCTCCGTCATACTATTTTTAAATGTTTGTACCCCACTTTGGTCCTTGAATTGTGTTGTACTATCTATTAGACAGAAAAAAGGAGCAAAATCTTGTGTTGTAGCATTATGTCATGACATGCCATGAAACTAATTTGCATATAGGGGAGGCAATGGTCTAGTAGCATTATCACTAGACTATTAATCCAGAAACTTGGTAAGGTCCTGGGGACCTGGGTTCAAATCTCACCATAGCAGATGGTGGAATTTGAATTCGATGTGGAGAAAAGAAATCTGGAATTAGGAGTCTAATGATGACCATGAATCCACTGCCAATTGCTGGAAAAACCCATTTGGTTCACTAATGTCCTTTAGGGAAGGAAACTGCTGTCCTTACCTGGTCTGGCCTACATGTGACTCCAGACCCACAGCAATATGGTTGACTCTTAAACTGCCCTCTGGGCAATTAGGGATGTGCAATAAATGCTGGCCTAGCCAGCAGTGCCCTCATTCCTGTGAATGAAAAACAATCACAACTTCTACTTAAGTTACATATAGATATGGATATACTATATTAGTTTCTATTTTTTTAAAATTCTTTCACGCAATGTGCATGTCATTGCAAATGCCAGCATCAGCTGCCCATCCCTAACTGACTTTGAACTTTGTGCTTTCAGGGCATTTCAAAGGGCAGTGAACTACACCATTGTGGGTCTGGAGTCACATGTAGGTAAAAAAAATATAAGATTTCCTTCCCTTCAGGACATTAATGAGTCACATTAGCTTTACAACCCATTACCGAGATACCTATTCCAGAGTAATTTAGTGAATTCAAATTCCCCCAGCTGCCATGATAGCCTGATATTCTGGATCACGTGCCCAGTGACATTACCACTACCTCCACTGTCTTCCAAAATAAATCAACTTAGTTTAATGTTAGTACTGCTTTCTAGAATATATTCACAATGATTAGCTTTTTCAGCAGAACATTATTATCAGAAAAACTTAGTGATAAATAGCAAGTGGGTGTATTTTTCTGCAATAATTTTGTATCCATTCCTGTGAACAACACAGAGCATCTAAACGTTCCTAAGTCACAAAGATTTATTTATGCATACTTACCCAAAGCCACACACTCATCTTCACTTAGTTTCTTCACATTGACTACTTCTTTTTCATATTCAAGATATTCCAGAAACATTTGGATTGGTAGTTTATAGTTTTTGTCCTCCTCAAAATGAACCGTACTTCTGGTGTTTCCTTGTCTATAATTATCCAGCAGTGTTTGAATTTTTACAACTTCCCTTTCCTCTAGTCGCAACAAAGTAGCCAGGTCCTGCCAACAAAACAACATCAAAAAATGCGAAAAGGAACAAACGGGAGGTTAGTGTTAACTATTGTCTGTAAAGGTTTAATGTTTCCAGTGTTTTCTAATGGCATAATCACTCCTCTGGAAGCAAAACATACTCGAGGAAACATTCACTGAAGACATGCTAACAAAAAGTATAAATTAAATTCCAGTTTTTTTTAAAATTACCTTTACAATTTAAACACTATTTACATTCAATCACACTGAATTTACCTTCACACAATTACTCACATTGCTAAATAAAAACCGAAAGAACTGCAGATGCTGCAAATCAGGAACAAAAACAGAAGCTGCTGGAAAAGCTCAGCAGGACTGGCAGCATCTACGAAAAAAAATAATCAGAGTTAACGTTTCGGGTCCGGTGACCCTTCCTCAGAATGGGTTATTTTCTAGACAGCAGTACTAACATAAAACTAAGTTGATTTATTAAGTACATTTGTCAAGATTTGCTATCTTTTTAAACATGCAAAATTTTCCTGCAATGTGTACTGTTCAGCCCTTCTCCATTCACAGATGCTAACCAAACCCCAAAGAGAGGTGAAACTCCTCTGTCATACTATTTTCAAAATGTTTGTACCCCACTTTGGTCCTTCAATTGTGCTGTCCTGAGGAAGGGTCACCAGACCAGCAACGTTAACTCTGACTTTTTTTTCCTTCAGATGCTGCCAGACCTGCTGAGCTTTTCCAGCAACTTCTGTTTTTTTTACTTACATCGCTAGTTTTGGCTACACCATTCTCCAAATCTTTAGAGTTGAGCTTGTCCACACACGTATAAAGGTGAAGCAGTTTCAGCTGGCTGAGACAAAATTGCAACAATCCTTCATCCACACTTTCAGGATCTGATAAAGTCACATGGGAGAAAATGGTGCATTCAATATAGAATTGACAACCCACTATACATACTTTGCTGACCATTTTCATGTCAAAAATAACTGTGCTGAGCAGCACAATCAAGAAAAGCATGCATAGCTGCACCCACATTTAATCCTAGGTGTGTACTGGAATTGCAGATCTCACACAAAGAAAACAGTGTCATTATGGAGACTGGAATAATCGGCAAGGGTTCTGGTCCCTCCTTACTGTCAAGTAACCTCTGAGGAAAGTGCAAACCAGTCAAGAATCACGCTCGGCTGTGATGTCCCCAACATGGTGACTCAGTGGTCAGCGCTGCTGCCTCACAGAGCCAGGGACCTGGGTTTGATTTCACCCTCAGGTGACAGTCTGTGTGGAATTTGCACATTCTCCCAGTGTCTGCATGGGTTTCCTCCAGGTGCTCTGGTTTTCTCCCAGTCCAAAGATGTGCAGGTTAGATGGATTGGCCATGCTAAGTTGCCCAGTGTCCAGGGATTAGCCATGGGAAATGCAGGGTTACAGGGATAAGGTAGGCTGTTTCTTCAGAGGGTCAGTGTGGATATAATGGGCCCAATGGCCTCTTTCCACACTATAGGGATTCTATGACTCTCTGATCAAATAACCTGTCAATGTTCAGCTGCCATGACCAGGCCATGCACATGAAGTCCCATTGCCCTCAGTGCTGGAAAACAGATTTAGGCTAGGTGGCATAACAAGTAGAATGGTAGCCTTCTTCACCATAAATTTTTGTATATTTTACACATTCAGAAAGAAGGTACATGCAGGGTTGTGAGGAATCAGCTCAAGAATGTTGTTGCCCCTTAAATGGGCATCCAGGATTAAATCACAATACTCCAACTGAGGTTTAACATTGAACATAATTCCTTGCTTTTACTCTGTGCCTCTAATTATAAAGAGAGGGATTCTTTTGGTTGATTTTTTGAATAGTAGTAATTTGTCCTCAAAGATCTCTGCAGCAATGCTCCAATTCCATGAGTCTGTCATAATTGTACAATTTAGTTTAACTTGCCCATTTTCTAACAAAATAGATCTATCTGCAGTAAATGTCACCTGCCTTGTGTCTGCCCATGTCCTCCTGAAATTTGCTAGTACCCTTCTCACAGTCCACCACTTGTTAGAGTTAAGTGCTCTCTCCAAGTTTTGAAATTATGAACTGAACTTTGGTCTTCTGCACATAAATTTATAGCAAAAAAAGAGCAGTGGTTTGACTATGGTAATAAGTGGGTGTGGGACCTTTATATACAAGGATTTTTCCTTCAGAATTATTCACTATTTTCTGCATTCTGTCCGACAGGCAACTGTGTATCCACACCGTCGCATTGCTTTTAAACCCATGAGCTTTAATCCTGCTAACACTATTATGTGGTAGTTTAGCAAAAGTCATATACTAAAAGAGAAAAAAGTGTATTTACGTAGAATTTTTCACAATCACCAATAAACTACTTTGGAAATGCAGAGATAGTAGGAACTGCAGATGCTGGAATTTCTGAGATAACAAGGTGTAGAGCTGGATGAACACAGCAGGCCAAGCAGCATCATAGGAACAGGAAGGCTGACGTTTTGGGCCTAGACCCTTCATCAGAAAAATCAGAAATGCAGATATTGTAGGAACCATGCAACTAATTTGCACAGAAACTCCTGCAAATATTGATGTGATCCTGAGCAGACAATCTGTTTTGTTGATGGGCTTATAGAGATTGACAGAGATACCAAGGATAATTACTTGCTCTTCATCAATCTGATGCCATGGAATCTTCTGTTGTGCCAGGGCTCTAGGTTTAGCATCCCATCTCAAATACAACGACTCTCATAACGCATCACTCCAAGTACTGCACTGGTTTAAAAGTAGGATTGCTACTGAGATGGAACGCTTGCAATATTAACCATATTATCCTCATTGACATTTATTTCAAAAATGAATTCAATTATAAATTAAACACATGCTTTGTCTTCAACTCATCCAAGCCGACTGTTCCTGATTAAGCCAAGTATATTGTCCTGAATTAAAGTTTCCTTACCACTAACATGAGACTGACTGGTCTACAGTTACCAAGTTTGCTCCCTCCCTATTTTGGAACAGGTATCATTTGTACTCCTTCAATATTCTTCCTTTAAAGGGACTCTCATGGCACAGTGGTAATGTCCTTATCTCTGAGTCAGAAGGCCCAGATTCAAGTTCCACCCCCACCAGAGGTAAGATATAATATCCCTGAACAGGTTGATTAAAAATATTGACTCTTCCTTTAAAATTGTTTTAACATTTAATGCTTATAGAAGACTTGTGGGTTACCTTTTCTTTACCCACCAATTAACATTTTCACACACTCTCTTTGCTGCTCCTATTTTCCATTACAGGTACTCCATTTTTCAGTATTCAGCTTGGATTCTCCAATACTTTTTGACATGGTCATTAATTAAACTTTGCAGTTAATTTAAAAGCTTTGTTTGTAATGAACACTTACTTAATTTTTATGTAATTATAATATGCAAGGCTGCACCAGTTTTAAACAGTATTATTCATTCATCTTAAAGAAAAAGCCCACCCACAGCCTCCAACCTCATCGTACCCCAACCCCGCACCGTCCGCTTCTATCTCCTTCCCAAAATCCACAAACCTGATTGCCCTGGTCGACCCATCGTCTCCACCTGCTCCTGCCCTACCGAACTGATCTCCACCTATCTTGATCCATTTTCTCCCCCTTGGTCCAGGAACGCCCTACCTACGTCCGTGACACCACCCACATCCTCCACCTCCTCCAAAACTTCCAATTCCCCGGTCCCCAACACCTCATCTTTACCATGGACGTCCAATCTCTATACACCTGCATTCCCCATGCAGATGGCCTAAAGGCCCTCCGCTTCTTCCTGTCCCACAGGCCCGACCAGTCCCCCTCCACCGACACCCTCATCCGCTTAGCCGAACTCGTCCTCACCCTCAACAACTTCTCTTTCAATTCCTCCCACTTCCTACAGACAAAGGGGGTGGTCATGGGTATCCGCATAGGCCCAAGCTATGCCTGCCTCTTTGTAGGTTACGTGGAACAATCCTTCTTCCGTACCTACACTGGCCCTAAACCGCACCTCTTCCTCCGTTACATTGATGACTGTATCAGCACCGCCTCGTGCTCCCACGAGGAGCTCGAACAGTTCATCCACTTCACCAACACCTTCCACCCCAACCTTAAGTTCACCTGGACCATCTCTGATACCTCTCTCCTTCCTGAACCCCTCTGTTTCCATCTCTGGCAACCACTTGGAAACCGATATCCATTTCAAGCCCACCGACTCCCACAGCTACCTAGAATACACCTCCTCCCACCCACCTTCCTGCAAAAATGCCATCCCCTATTCCCAATTCCGTCGCATCCGCGCCCAGGATGAGGCATTCCACTCCCGAACATCTCAGATGTCCTCGTTTTTCAAGGACCGCAACATCCCCCCCTCAGTGGTCGAAAACGCCCTCAACTGTGCCTCCCGCATTTCCCGCAACTCATCCCTCACACCCCCTCCCCACAACAATAACCAAAACAGAATCCCCCTAGTCCTCACGTACCACCCCACCAACCTCCAGATCCAACACATCATCCTCCGACACTTCCGCCATCTGCAATCCGACCCCACCACCAAAGGCATTTTTTCCTACCCACCCTTATCTGCTTTCCGGAGGGACCACTCTCTCCAGGACTCCCTTGTCCACTCCACACTCCCCTCCAGCCCCACCACACCCGGCACTTTTCCTTGCTACCGCAGGAAGTGCTACACCTGCCCCTACACCTCCCCACTCACCCCCATCCCAGGCCCCAAGAAGACGTCCCACATCAAGCAGGTGTTCACCTGCACATCTGCTAATGTGGTATACTGTATCCGCTGTTCCCGTTGTGGCCTCCTCTACATCGGGGAAACCAAGTGGAGGCTTGGGGACCACTTTGCAGAACACCTACGCTCAGTTTGCACTAAACAACTGCACCTCCCAGTCGCGAACCATTTCACCCCCCCCCCCCCCCCACATTCCTCAGACGACATGTCCATCCTGGGCCTCCTGCAGTGCCACAACGATGCCACCTGAAGGTTGCAGGAACAGCACCTCATATTCCACTTGGGAATCCTGCAGCCCAATGGTATCAATGTGGACTTCACAAGCTTCAAAATCTCCCCTCCCCTACCGCATCCCAAAACCAGCCCAGCTTGTCTCCACCTCCCTAACCTGTCCTTCCTCCCACCTATCCCCTCCTCCCACCTCAAGCCCCACCCCCATCTCCTACCTACTACCCTCATCCCGTCTCCTTGACCTGTCCGTCCTCCCTGGACTGACCTATCCCCTCCCTACCTACACTCACCTTTAGTGGCTCCATCCCCGCCTCTTTGACCTGTCTGTCTCCTCTCCACCTATCTTCTCCTCTGTCCATCTTCTATCCATCTCCCCCCTCTCCCTATTTATTTCAGAACCCCCTTCCCCTCCTCCATTTCTGAAGAAGGGTCTAGGCCCAAAACGTCAGCTTTCCTGCTCCTCTGATGCTACTTGGCCTGCTGTGTTCATCCAGCTCTACACCTTGTTATCTTAGAAATAATGATATTTGATTTACTCTATGTTAAAAGATTCTGTACTCTCAGATTCTACTACAGTCACCAAAATTTTAGACTTGAAGAGACAAACTCTAGTTTGTAGAAAACTTGAAGAATGCCTACAAAAGTAACCCATGATACTGAATGAAAAATCCTCAAAACATAACAAATCAATCTAAGGTCCCGAAACTCCAACATGCAACTTATTGATTGGCGTAGCTACTATACATATAAACTACCCATGAGGCCAAGAAGGGGAGTGGGAACAGGCTAATCAAGCAGTTTACAGGTTAAGTGGTATAGAACAAGAATCAAAATACACAATAACATGACCAACATTTACAAATGTCTTACCACAAAATTTTGTTTAATAATCAGGTAAATCACAAAAAAGATGCACGCAAATATAATAATACTGTTCGCCAATATAATCGGAGTGAAGAATAGAGAAAAACAATGTTTAAAAAAAAAGGAGGACTCCAGGTATATACTTATTTGAATTCACACCTACCTTGATTCATTAAGCTGTCCAACAATGCCTGAATTAAATTTGTTAAGCAGGACAATGGGATATTTTTACTCGCCAACATTTTTTCTAAGGCCTGCATTTGTAAGAAAAAAAAACTTGAAATTACAAAATAGGAAAAAGAGTTTAAGAAACTATTTTTTAAAGATGATTTAATTACCTGTTTTTTCATGGCAGGATATTTAATATCAAGAAGATGCATCTTTATTTCAGTTTCCATATTTTCTGAAATATGGATACACAATAATAGTTTGCAAAATTAATTAAATGGAAGACACAAGCTTTCACAGCAACAAGTATAGTTATTGACCTAAACATTATGGGACAGAAATTAGTCTCAGGCAATGGTGAAAACAGGCAGAAACAAATCAGCCATCATTATCTGCAGCATCTGATATTTAATTAGTCAATGGAATTAAATACCTGACGCTGCGTATAATGGATGTTGATTTGCTTGTTTTACAATACTATTCCAAGGCAATTTTTGCTCCTGCTTCAATTAACATGTATCAATATACTAAAATTCAGAATTAACTCAACTCAAATACTAACAGCAACATGCATCAAGTTCTACAATTTTCAACTCCTCGTGATGTGAACCCAACTTTTTCTATGTATTTCATTTGAAGCAATAATGCCTTACTCTTGTGTTCATGAATTTAATGTGCACACAAAATTTAAGTCTACATTTCTGCCAGTTTGTATTTACAAAGTTGCTAACATGAATCCATCTTGACAAATACATCAGTGTTACAAAATCCTGCATGCACATTGCAATCTAGCTTAATCAGAATAAGACATTCTCAAAGCAGCAATTCACAATTTTGTACTGAACATTTTACTACTGTATTTTCATTTACAAAGGTACTAAAATCTGACCAGTGTGCTCATAAACTATTTGATTAGGTGATATAAACAATGCTTTACAACTACAATCAGTTAAATACAGTAACTACCTGGATTTGACACTTTGGCCTTCAACAAAGTAGTCAGCCGCTTCAACAGATGCATATCCTTTGCTCTTTCACTCTTCTTATCACTGAAAAGTAGTATGTGCATTAGTCGCCCTTTTTCTCAAAAACTCATTACAAGGATAAAATAAAGAACTGTGATGCTGCAGACCTGAAACAAAAACAAAAATTGCTGGAAGAATCACTAGGCTTGAAAAAGTTATTCATCTCAGCTTTCTTCCCATAGATGCTGCCACATCTGAGTTTTATCAGCAATTTCCTTTTTGTCTCTAAAAAAGGATGTCTCATTCCATTAAAATCAAACACCCAGAAAGCTTTATTTATTAGAAATACTTAAGTAGAATACATATTTTAAATTTGTATCAGTAAGCATACATATTTAGTTCTAAATACATAACTGCACCTGAATAACTCCAAACATATGGACAAAGTACTCCTTCCACATATCAATAACTTACAGTAATTGTTTCAAAATGTCATATCAGTCTTGAAAAATGTTGAATCTTTTGCATTTTAAGATATAAATACTGATTTACACACTAAGGGTACAATTTTGTTTAGCAGGCCATCCTATCCTACCATTTATAATGTTCTAATTGCTACGTAATGGTCATAAGGTGGTGAAACAAGATCCTAGCTGGTCTTCGCTCTATAAACATTAGTAATTACAGCTGAGAGGAGAAATGTGGATTTTGGTTGTGAAATAGTGCCTAAACAGCCAACTAGATAACTCAAACAGCAGCACAACACATATCACATATCAGCTATTACTTCGGCAACACTGGTTATTAACCCAGTAGCCTGAAGTGGGTAGGAAAATGGATAAACGGTTGCAAGATATCAGAGTTGACAGGTTACAGGCATCAGGAAAGACAGTCAGAATCAGGCTCTTCTCAGGAAAGCCAAAAAGACAACCTCACTAAAGATCATTAGAACTATGAAGAAGTTTGATACTTTGAGTGGAGTATGTTTTCACATGTGGGAGGAGTTCAGAACCAGCAGTCATAAACAAAGAACAAAGAACAATCTTAAAACAACTCAAAATAATTCAAGAGAAGCTTCTCTACAGAAAGAGAAGTTGGACGTAGCTTAGGTAAATAACATGGATGCATTTAAGGGAAGCTTCATACATACACGAACAAGAGGGAACAGAATTACATGTTGATACAGTAACAAAACCAACATTGATCCATTGTACTGAATTGTCTATTTCTCAGTTCTAAGTTTTTGTGGTGGGGAAAAAAATGAAACAAAAGTACCTAAGAGCAAGATGGAAAGGAACATTAACGGTTTTCACGTTACCATCCACTGGATCAATTAGACAAATCTGAAAGGTTTGTGGCTGCCAGCCCTGGCTGGTCACATTGTTCAATCCCATAATCTTATATCCAGGATACAATAACCTAAAAAAAAGGCACATTTAAAGAGTTATAAAATATCCAGAATACTATCTAATTTCACAATATACAGAAGGAAAATAATTCAAAACATTCAGATGTGAATATATTTCTACCTGCAATAAAAGTTTTTGAAGAACACCATTAAAAAAAGGTTTAAAGTATATGATTTTTGGTCTGTCTAGTCTGCCCATTCAATTCAACCATTTAATTCCCATATCTTTATACCATTTATGAAATTTAATAACTGAATTCCATCAAACACCAACAATTATTTCAATCTAATTACCTGCTTGAATCACCAACACTTCACATTTGTTCCACAAAGAAAAAGAAATTTGCACCCTAGCCTGGAATTCTCCACACAGTAGAAAAAAAACCTGTGCTTCTTAACTGTTTCACCATTGAAAATTTTATCAATACATTGATTCCCACAATCTTAAAGGATTGCATGTTGAGAAGAAACTCTTGCAATAAATAATCTGTCCTTATTCCTTATCAAATTTACATGTTAAAAAAAATCATGTCAGTCAGTACTATTAAGTATATGTCTTCAAAATAGTAGAAGCCACATTTCAGTTTAAATATAAATTTCACCCAAGAAAGTAAAAATAAAAATTAATTTGGATGGAAAAGAAACCCACAAATGAACAGGATCTATTAGTTTCACCTAACTCAGAAGATAGTGTTTCTCAAATTGCTCATCAGCAATTGAGTCATTTTAACCAAATAACATGTAAACTTGTTTTAAAAAAGGTTTCCCCTTAGTTGGTTTCCGTTGAGTTCAGTAATTTTTTTTTGGAACAAAAGCATGAAAAATGCATGCAATTCCATGGCGGAATACAAATTGTCAAAATTTCGTGAACCACCTTTAAAGACAGAAGTCTTTTCTCCCCACACACATCTCTCCCTTAAAAATATGCAATATTCAAGTTTAACAGAAATACTGTTACAAAAATGCTTAAAATTGAAAACCTGCTCCATTCACCTATCCACTCATGCAGAAAAAGCATTTACTAGGTGCGACAAAAAATACCATTTGCAGATATTGCTCCACTTTACAGACCTGCAGTATTTTCCTACATTAAATGCCCCAACCCTTGGACCTTGCTGAGTGCTCCACACTTCCAGGATTCCTCTCCTTGGGGCATAGATCACCAGGAACTGAGCCACTCGTCTTAGGCCTATAGGACTCCTGAAAGGTGAGAAGTTGCTCTTCTCTGCTTCTCTTTCATGAAGATCTTCTAAAACCTGGATCCAGCCAACCTGTGCATCACGATATCCTAGCAAACGAAACAGAATTTAAAACAAAACACAGAACAGAGCAAGAGCATCCAGTCCGAGCAAACTCAAATGAACTGTCTTTAAGATTAAACTTTTATTTAAACCTTTTACACATTTCACTCTCCTGCCTAGGACCAAGGGTGATTTTTAATTATGTTCTAGGACTAAGCGTACAATAATGCAGCTGCTCAACGCATCTTTTCTGCTCTCTTTCTAATACAATTACATGGGTTGAAGGGAAGTGCCAGCAGACTGGAGAATTGAAAACATTAAAACAAAAACAAAAGGATGGAAAGGAAACCTTGGGACAAACAGCCCAGTTGGTTTAACTTTGGCTTGGGAAGCATTTACAAACAATCATTACAAACGATACAAACGAGAATTTTGCAGAGCTGCAGAGAAAAGACATCGGAGTGACACAAGGTGAACTGTTCTTTCAGAGGGCTAGCATATACCATGGCAGACCCCAATGGCCTCCTTCTGCACGTAACTAGTCTATGATTCTAATCATCAAAATTTAACCATTACTTATGTAGAATCAAGTTGATCTTTCAGTAATTGAGACATGATCCAAAAAAATGAGAAAATAAATTAATGTTTTGTTCAATTGTGGTCTGTAAAATTCCATTCTGTCACAACATTTGCTCTGTGGTAAGTGGGAAGTGTAATGTGCCCTGGAATCAAAATAAACAAGTACAATAAAATATCAGTTTCATGGTTTTATTTATGATAGAACAGATGTTAAGTCCTTTGAACTGAAAACAGCTTTGGGTTTCAAGCCAAAGCTACTTCCTAAATTGGCTTACTTTTGTTACTTAAAGTATGTGACAAGCCTAAATATGCAAGTTCTGTACGAATTTTGTATGGTTATTTTGATCTTTGTAATTTGTTGTGCTTAGCAATATTATTTTGTCACCTCAATGTTAACACACTTTGGTATAGTAATCAAGGTGCAAGTCTTGGTAAAGTAGTATTTGTTTAGTTTGCCAGAACAAAATAGACAGGAATGTCTTTTTGAAGTGAATGTAGTTAATTTAGTGAACTAAAACATACTGATAAACTTAAGACTTCTAGAAAATTCCAAAGTGTATTCGTTAGAACATTGATCATCAGAACACTGGCCATTAGAATTTGACACTACATATCCTCTAAGCAGACACACAGTTAACTATATTAGTGCCTCTTTATGTTGGTAGAGATCCATGAAGCAAGTAAGCTAAGTGACTGACATCTCAAGGAACTAGTCAGGAGAGAGCAGGAAGTGATATCAATAAGACAAGCATTCCAATCCAGAATTATACGTACATTCTTATTCCATGCTGTCCATGCATTGGCAAGCCAGAGTTAGCTGGCCAGTGGTTTAAGCCATAACTCATGGCAGTTGAGTGTGCAAAGATAAAGGAAGAAAACAGGAGAGAACTTCAGTCAACAGGAGACATACACCCAGTCAGCCAGAGGTCATGAGCCAGTGTTCCGATGTGCACTGCCTAAACCAACTGCCTTATTGAGCATCATTCTTTTGTACCTTCTGTGACCAACTTAATAAATTCTGAGACACTTGTGACAATACATTTGTGCCTGGAATGGTTCTGTAACTAATCAGGACTAAAGGACCTTCTGGATCAGCCCTCTCAAGCTCAGTTTATAACGGTAATTGAAAAGAGTCTTATGGCACAATGGTAATGTCCCTATCTCTGAGATAGAAGGCAGAGGTTCAAGTCCCAACTGCCCTGATATGTCATAATATGTCCAACATGTAACAGGTTGACTAAAATAATTAGTTGCAATTGACGTGTCATAAAACGAACCCCAAATCTTAGACTTGTTGTACTACTGCATCACCATGTGGGATACAGTTCACAGTCAGCTACTTGCAATTTGTCATGTTCTATTTCTACCGTGTGTATAGACTTAATGTAATCAAAGTTTACATTTTAGAAAACAAAATTTACTATATTAATGAAATTTCTGCTGTATACTTTCTACAAAGTATCCAAGGCATTTTGCAGGATAATTAATCACCAACAATTACACGGTATTCATTGAAAAACAATGGGATAAGTGAAAATTAAACTATTGTTTACAGTGAAATAGATAATCATAAGCACATGAATTGATAACTAAAATCTTCAATCTTAAAATTTAAATCTTTAAATTTGAAAACATGAGAAATTGATATTCCAATTACTGTTGAAAGAACTGTAGATAAAATGTCAGCCTCACCTTTCCACATGCGTATTGCCACACCTCTTGCCACATCTAATAAAGTGATGCGCCCAAAATCATCTGTCACAGCTGCCAGGGTATTGCAAGGCGAAAGGCAAATATTTTCTCCACGCCGACGAGAGTCTGGAATACCAAACCTAGAAAATAAATAAAACACAAAGCACAGCTTACTAGCAGCTGCGACAAAATTACAACGAATCAGAAGTTGCTGTTAAAGCTCAGTGGGTCTGGCAGCATCTGTAAAGAAAAAAATCCAGAGTTAACATTTCAGGTGTGGTGACCCTTCCTCAGAGAGGGTCACTGGACCCAAAACGTTAACTCTGATTTTTTCTTCACAGATGCTGCCAGACCTGCTGAGCTTTTCCAGCAACTTCTGTTTTTGTTCCTGATTTACAGCATTCATAGTTCTTTCAGCTTTTATTACAACAAATCATTTCCATTCATATAAATAGGTGAAGAAATACTTAAACAGGTCAGAGGAACAGCCCACCAAACTATGTAGCATGCTGGTCAGACAACACCTGGAGTACTGTTTCTAGCTATGGTTGCCACGATGCATTAAGAAGCTACAGGTGGTATAGCAGAACCAATTTCTAGGATAGGGCTTTAAACTGAACAGTGAAGGAGTGGGTTCAGCTGCATAGAAAATTATAGAAAAAGTTAAAAGCAGGGGAGGCCTCAGCAGAGATCATTAGTTTCCAGAACAAGTAATAGGTCAGAGAGTATGGAAAGAGTCAGGAATCTAACTTCAGACACAGCATGTAAGGAGACAACTGTGAAAAGGGGGCAATCAACAAAGGACTGAGGGTGCTGTACTTCAATGCACAGCATGCGAAACATGATAAAAGGAGCTTGCAGTGCAGATTGAAATTGGCAGGGATAATGTTTTGGGTATCACAGAGAAGTGGCTGCAAGGGGATCAGGGCTGGGAACTAAACATCCAAGGATACATGCCCTATCGAAAAGGATAGCCAGATGGGCACAGGGAGCAGGGCTGCCTCATTAGTAAGAAATGAAATTAAATCAACAACAAGATGTGATACAGAGTCTAATAGCATAGAATCCGTGTAGGTAGAGTTCAGGAACCACTAAAAGCAAGACGACTCTCATGGGAGCTATATACAGGCCTCCTAGCAGTAGTCAGGATTTGGGACAGAAAATAAACCAGTGGATAGAAAAGGCATGTAAGAAAGGCACTATTACAATAATCATGAAGACTTCAATACGCAGGTGGACTGGGAAAATCAGACTCGTGGCTGATCTCAAGAACGTCCATGTCTACGAGTTTTTTTTTTAAAGAGCAGCTTATGGTCGAGCCCATTAGGGAACAGGCAATTAAAACGAAGTGATGCAGACTTGATTAGGGAGCTTAAGGTGAAGGGACCCTTGGGGGCAGCAACCACAATATCATAGAATTCACTCTGCAGTTTGAAGGGGAAAAGCTGGCCAGAGTTGATCGGAAGGGAAGCCTATCAGAGAAGATGGTGGAGCAGCAACGGCAGGAGATTTTCAGGATAATTCAGGAGGCACAGCATTAATTCATCCCAAGGAAGAAAAAGCATACTAAAGGGCAGATGAGGAGAGTATGGCTGACAAGGGAGGTCAGGCACAGCATAAAAACAAAAGAAAAAGCATACAACGTGGTGAAGATTAGTGCAAAGCCAGAGGATTGGGAAGCCTTGAAAAGCCAACTAAAAAAGCAGTATGGGGAAGAAAATGAAATTAATGAAGATAAAAGAAGATTGTAAGAGTTTTTTTTAGATGTATAAAAAAGGTAAGAGGCAAGAGTAGTCATTGGACCATTGGAAAATGAGGCTGGAGAAGCAGTATTGGGGAAGGAAGAAACAGCGAGGAACTGAATAGGTACTTTGCATCAGTCTTCACGTCAGAAAACAGCAGCAGAACTTCAACAGAGTCAGGGGGAAAGAGGGGGGGTTGTAGTGGCCATCACTAAGGAGATGGTGCTGGGGAAGGTGAAAGATCTGAAGATGTATAAATAACCTGGACCAGATGGAGTACACCCAACAGTTCTGAAGGACATAGCTGAGGAGATTGTGAAGGCATTGATGATAATCTTTTAGGAATCACTGGAGTCAGGGAGGGTCCCAGAGGGCAGAAAAATGGCTAATGTAACACCGCTGTTTAAGAAGGGAGGGAAGCAGAAGATAGAAAACTACAGGCCATTTTAGCCTGACCTCAGTCATTGTTAAGATTTTAGAATGACTTGTTAAGGATTAGATTGCACAGTGCATGGAATTGCATGGTAAAATAGACTGAGTCAGCATGGCTTAGTCAAGGGAAATGGCTTAGTCAAGGGAAGGGAAGGTCATGCCTGTCAAATCTGTTAGAATTCTTTGAGGAGGTAACAAGCAAGTTAGACAAAGGAGAGCCAGTGGTCATGATCTACTTGAATTTCCAGAAATCCTCCGACAAGGTGCCTTTTTCAGGATGGCAGCTGGTGACTAGTTGAGTTCCACAGGGATCAGTGTTGGGAACATTATACATTAGTGATCTGGATGAAGGAACTGAGGCCACTGGAATGTATTTGTAACATATTTGAAATACATAACAATTTGTTATGTATTTAGAATCCTCAAGCGTTAATGAGATTCCATTTATTTATTCGGTTTCTTAATGTTGAAAGAATGATGACCAGAGGGAACACATTTAAAAGGGACTGGCAAAAGAACAAGGCGCAACATGAAGGAAACCACTTACACAATGAACAGTTAGATTCGGAAGGCATGACTTGAAAGGGTGAGGGATACCAATGTACGAGTAGCCTTCAGAAGTGACCTGGCTAAATATGTGAAGAAAAATAATTGCAGGAATGAGAAAAGAGCAAGGGAATAGGACTAACTGGATTGCTCTTCAAAAGAACCTGTACAAACCCATTCCACGAAGGAATAAATTCTGAATTCTACTCATTTTTACACACACAATAACCTCCTCCTGTGTAAGATATCTTGCAGTATTCCTGGTGACTTTTATCCATAATGGTTCATGTTGCAAAAACAATGGCTTCACAAGGTTATTACAAACAGTTGGAAAACATCTGATAAAGGTGACATATCTGAGATCTTAACATTCCTTCTTCTATTTTGTTGTTAAAGCCACATTTACCCACCTTACAGCAAGAGGGGTTGCTGGCTCAACTTTTGGTTTCTGTTTCTGCACCAGTTCTTCTTCATGCTTGCTTTTCCAACCAAGCCATCCACTAGAAAGCACACCAAGAAATTTTCATTAAAAAAAAAAAAAAAATCAGTGTCTGGCAAGCTTTATGCAGAACATAAATCTGCCAACCAAACAGTCATTTGAAATATTACCTTTACAGAGTTAAAAGAACCAAACACTTGGCATTCTTAATCAACCAACCAAGAAAAGGCACTAGCATAGAAAGAAACACCTGAAATGTTTTACCAATCTTATGAACAATGCCATTTTCGTGACACAATTCTATTTAAAGCCTTTCCAACACATTTAAAATTTCTACTCTAAATACAAGATTCTATTACTAAATATATTTTTGATTGTATGTAAATGCTTTGTTATATTTTTGTAACGAAAGACCTGATAAAGGACAACTGTATTATAGACACGGGCATAATCCAACATTTATTCCACCCAACATCCAGGAGAACTGGTAAAAGGTTATGGGAAACATCAATTCAACACAAGCCAAAATGTGACCAGTACAACAGATGGACTTAAACAGCTCATTAGGATGTGAAACAGAACAGAGGATGAGTAAGTTGTGTTCATTAACTGGAAAAGGAGATATTATGAATTGCAGTCTCGTCTTCTCCAGAAGATGATACAACTATGCATCACATCTAAAAATTAATCATGCAATATGCAAACCTAAATAGAACACAATTCAAAAACAAAGATAATTCAAGATTAAATCAGAGCAGCGAAATAACGCATTCATGAAGACACAGGTAATCAAGGTTATCGAGTCAAAGAAGTTTCAAAATTGAAACAAAAATAATCTAGCAGTAACTTAATTGCTTTAAATTTAATCTTAAGAAAAATCAAAGAAAACTGCTTTCTTACCTAGCTGCATTAAATAAAGCTGATGTAAGCTTGCTAGCAACTGCTAAAGCAACATGCGATAGCAATGGCTGGGTGCTACCCTGCAAATGAATAAACAAAAAATGTTTTATCAAAGTGATGGAAGTGTCCTTTCAAATGCTGCAACTACGTTCCCTGTTAGTAAATCAATTAATTCTAAATTGAAAATTAGTTATGCAAAACACATTCAAATGAACAATTATTTCCTGTCAAGATGCTTATTTAAGTTCATGCATTTTCTAAGACTGAAATCTTAAACTGTGAGAAACTCAAAAACTCACCTCCAAAGCATAGAAGAAACCAGCAAATGGACCAGATCCAACTGTTACATATTCTGACATAGCTGGTGGGCTGCTTTTTACAGTGGCATTAAATCCACCTAAAACAGAAGCAGTCTTCAACTGATCAAATGGACAAAGTGTCATAATACCTAGTGCAAAACAGAAAAACGTTATAAATATATTAAAGCATATTCCATTGTGAATATAACATTAAAAGGCATAATTGCTCGAGCATATTAGCTTCAGTTCTGCTCACTTCTCAAATAATTGAGTGAAGAAATTAAAGAAAATACAAGCTTGTCAGGGACATTGTAAACAGATCGATGGAAATATATGCATTACATGTGCATTGCTTTCCAAATGATCTTCAATTAAAGCTTCCTTCAGAGTTGCAAGAATACAAATAAAACCAGGAAAGGGCAGCACGATGACTCAGTGGCTAGCACTGCTGCCTCACAGCACCAGGGACCCGGGTTCAAATCCAGCCTTGGAATAACCTTGTGAGTTTGCACATTCTCCCCATGTCTGCATGGTTTCCTCCCACAGTCTGAAGATGTGCAGGTTAGGTGGACTGGCCATGTTAAATTGCCCATACTGTCCAGGGATGTGCACGCTAGATGGATTAGCCATTGGAAATGCAGGGTTACAGGGACAGGGTACAGGGCTGGGTCTGGGTCTGGGTGGCATGCTCTTGGGAGGGTCAGTGTGGATTCGATGGGCTGAATGGCCTGCTTCCACACTGTAGGGATTCTATGAATGCATTTTTACGATTCCACCAACATAACAAAGCGTTCCAAAGCCCTTCAAATCAGTTCATTCCTTTTACATCTTGGTCTCTTTTAATGACCTAAGTATGGCAGCCGATTGCACAGCACAAGATTTCACTAACTGCAGGGAACTAAATTACCATAATATACGGGGTTATTCAGATGATCAATATACTTGAAGCCTATCAATAAAGATCAAATCACTTCTGAATACGAATGCAAATCCTGAAGAATATTTTAATACTAAATGCACCATAGATCACCAAATTGGAAATAGATTATAAATTAACACTGAATCCTGTGGGAATCAGTGCTCCAAACCGAAGTTAGCTTACACAGGGCCTTCTTCAGTGGTAAACAAGGTAAAACATCATTCCCATTGAAATTCATTACCACCTGTACTTTAAGTGGCTAAGTTCCTACATTGTTAGATGCAATAAGAACAAAATAAATTTAAAAGTAAAGGTGTAATATTCAACAGTACTCAGTACTGTTAGGTAACTGGCCTCCCAAGATTACCTGCACTGACTGTATCTGCCATTAGATGAAATCCCAGACTCAATTCAAATTCAGGAGGGCAGTGAGGACCCGGGAAGACAGCAAAGGGATGCTAGATCTGAAGACTAAAGGGCAAGAATGGGGTGGTGCAGTGGTAGTGTATCTACCTCTGGTGAGAGATAGCATCTGGAGAGGGTGATTATAAAACAACCAAAAACAAATGGAGATGGGAGACAAGTCTGGGGCAAAGGGAACAAGTCCAGATGAGGTATAGGGGATAAGACTAGGGTTGACATGAGCCCCAAGATAAGGGAAGGCCAGGATGAGAGTACAAGTCCAAGACAAGTGAAGGCTGGGAAGGAAGTTTCAGGGGTGGAGCTAGACTACAGACGAGAGGTTAGTGGGAAATGAAGAAGCCTGCCACTGATGCGGCAAGGGTGGAACAAGCCAGGAGATTAGGCCAGGCAGCAAGGCCAGGACAAAGGCAAGATTCCTTGCCCATGACCAGAACAAAAGGAAGAGCTTGTGTCTGGGACAGTACCGGGCACTGATGTGCGACGGCAACAGATGACAACAATTCCAGAGCAAAAATGAAAAAAAGGTCCGGAAGAATAAACAACTTTAGGACAAAATAACAATAAGCAAGGCAACGTTAAATAAAAACTATCTATATGACTCAAGTAGTTAACTACTTTCCAGGGTTTCAACAATTCAGAGCTTCTTTTCCCATCCCATTCTATATTGAGGCATTGTACTTAAGTATGTTTGACCAATCAAATGGGAAATTGCTCCAAATTATTTCAAAGGAGGCAGTCAGATGCTACTACACTTTGAGCCACAAGGTTGAACCACTGGCGACATACAGAAATGTAATTTTTCCCCATATTTGGACCAGCATCCCATCTCCACCTGATAGTCAGTCATAAGTTAAACTATGCTGTTAATGTCTACAGATATTATCCCACAAAGTTAAGCTTTATGAAATACTGTCACTTTGTTTTTAAACAAATGGATAGTTTCATTACCAATGCTTGCATGGTCCACTATCATATCAACATCCTGCAGGCCCCATTTCTTGTAAGTTAATGGTGGAGGTTGTACACTTTCAGCACCTGAAGCTGCAGCTGTAAGAAAGTGTAATGTACCAAGAAAATTAGCAAAATATACTACTTTGTAAGGAACTAAATTCATTTATTTTGTGCAGTAAAATAAAGCACCAAATTCACTCATTACAGTAGGAGTGTTAAACAGTTAAAAAAAACAAATTCTACCAGAGATATTGTAATTTTTAGTAGTGTGTTACTACCAAATTGTAGAATGCCACCAGGAAACCAACAGCAAGTCTCTACTCGTTCCGGTGAGAGATGCTCCAGAGAGATGGCCTAAAGATTGGAAGTACAGTTTTAGAGCTAGATTTCTAGTTGCAGTGGGTTGGTGGCTATAAAATATGACATGCAGTAAAAAAAATCCTCAGGATATAGGCATTGCCCAACAAGACCAGGATTTATTTCTGGTCTTGAGCTGCTCTAGAGAATAAGGTGAAGTTTTCCGTGCTCTACGGCTCATTGAGCTACTACAGTCTATGTGATGAGGCTCTCTCAATACAATATGAAGCTTAAGCCAGATGTTCCACAACATTGTTGGGTCAATGTTTTTACAAATGTATGAAATTGGAGCAGAAGTTAGACATTTGGCTCCTCGAGCCTGCTCCGCCATTCAACAAGTTCATAGCTGACCTGTTCATGTTTCAAATTCCACACTCCTGTCTATCCCTAACAACATTTGATTCCCTTAATGCTGACAGGTGAGAATTTACTTTAGAAAGGATTCCTCTAGTTAACGTCACACCTAAACTAGGATTTCCAGAACCTGACAGCACCTGGACTAGGGCCCAATGATGATCTAGTCAAAACACAGTACTGCAGTCACCTTCCTCAGTCTTGAGAAATCGCTCATGATCTATCACTACCAGACCAAGGTTATACTCTCTCATTACCTGACTTATTTATTGACTCCTTTTGACCTTTCCTTTTACCATTCACCTATAAATACAACTGACCAATGCTGATGGGTCTGGAATCTAGTTACAAAAAGTAGACGGTAAATCTTACATCTTACAAAACAACTTCCAATCCAGCTCCTGAAATAAAAATCACCTAGACTAAGCAAATGGACTGTAATGATTTAAAGACAACGCATGCTTTTTATTTTTTCATCTGTAAAATATGAGAAAACACACACACACACAGCATGTGTGTCTCTGGCAGTTTCATGCATTTCACTGCATAGAACGTAGAACAGTACAGCACAGTACAGGCCCTTTGGCCCACGATGTTGTGCCGAACTTTTACCCCAAACCTAAGGTCTATGTAACCTCCACCATTACCTTATACTACCATCCATATGCCTAACTAATAGCCGCTTAAATGCCCCTAATGAGGCCGACTCCACTACCCTCTCCGGCAATGCATTCCATGCCCCTACCACTCGCTGAGTAAAGAACCTACCTCTGACGTCTCCCCGATATCTACCTCCTTTCACTTTAAAACTATGTCCCCTCGTAAAAGCTACCTCCACCCTAGGAAAAAGTCTCTGGCTGTCTACTCTATCTATACCTCTGATCATTAAACCTTTTTTCACAAAAAATGATTTTCCAAGTTCAAGATTCTTCATAAATGAACTGTACAAATACCGGAATTCTACCGCAGTATGTGAGAAGCTTACAAATATGGGAACATAACATTGATGGGGTTACAATAACAGATTTCCTCAAAAAATAAATTGATAGAGTCATGCAGCATGTAAAGTGACCCCTCAGTCCAACGTATCCACACCATCCCAATCTGACCTAGTCCATTTAGCCAATATCCCTCTAAATCCTCCCTATTCATATACCCATCCAGATGCCTGTTAAATGTTGTAATTGTACTCACTCCCACCACTTCTTCTGGCAGCCTGTTTCAGACACCCACCACCCTCTGCACAAAAAAGTTACTCCTCAGATCCTTTATAAATCTTTTCCTGCTAACATTAAACCCATGCCCCCTAGTTCTGGACTCCTCTCCAGAGAGAAAAAAGACCTTGGCTATTCACCTTATCTGTGCTCCTCATAATTTTATAAATCTCTACTAGGTCGCCTCCTAGTCTTCAATGCTCCAGGGAAAATAAGCCCCAGCCTATTCAGCTTCTCCCTATGCTCAAACCCTCCAGTCCTGACATCCTTGTAAATCTTATCTGCATCCTCATGTTTGACAACATCCTTCCTATAGAAGGGCAACCAGAATCATACACAGTATTCCAAAAGTGGCCTCACTAATATCCTGTATAGTCAGAATATGACATGCTAACTCCTACAGAATGTCATGACCAACGAAGGCAAGCATGCCAAATGCCTTCTTCACCACCCTATCTACTGTGGCTCCAGTTTCAAGGAACTGTTAGTGACAGCCTGTTGCCTTGACAGAATACCACTCATTAACTCCATTTCTCCCACATATGTTGCCTGATATTTATATTTCCAGCATTTTGCTTTTATTTCAGATTTCCAGTATCTACAGTACAAAGCTTTTTTTCCCCTGAATTCAAGCATCAATTGCTAAAGCCCTTCGCACCCTTGGTCTCTTTGTTCAGCAACATTCCCCAGGGCCCTGGTTTCACTCTCACTCTCATAGACCTTCTGACCAGAGGTCAGCAAGTTCTCAATGCCATAAGCGCCACAGCAAATAATGGTAGTTGGCAGTAATGGATGCACTAAAAGCCCAGGACCTTCATGGGGCTTCAGACAAAAGGTGACTGTAGGTGAGATGGGGATTGCAGGAGAGAATCACATGGAATGGTCAGGAGGCAAAGGCAAGATGGTGGTTTTCAGCAGTCAATCCTCTCCTGATGCCTGGTTCCTTCATCAGGCACTGAGTACCTAAAAAGGGATCCTGCCCCTCTCAGGAAGCTGCTGGCAAACCTAAAAGGATTCCCAACCTTCTGAGGGCACAAGAAAGTACCCCTCATGTACTCCTATTTAATCACTGAACCACCAAACCATGGAGGGCTTGGGGGAACCATCAGTTGGGAATCCGCATCAGCCCTTTCCACTCCAACTTCATCAGAAGAGGTTCTTCTGCAAGACCAAATCAGGGCCTCTACGTGAATAAATGGGCCCCAGTCACCATTTTTTCTGCTGTGATGATATCTAACACCGCCCCCCTCAACCCTCCGCCCGTTTCAGGTTGATGGTCCTTCACCTGATGAAGGGCTATTGACCAGAAATATTTTTCAGTGTAAATAATGCCTGATCCAGTGAGTTTTCCCACACTTCATTTCAGGATTTGGATTTTGGGGACATTGAACTACATTTCTAACAACCCCATCCCACAGTGGGGCTTGAAAGATGCTGGAATAAAAGAAATTCACATTTAATTTTAATAATTTTACCAAAAGCACAAATAATGCAACCATATTACTAAAAACATTACCTCTTGCTACCTGGTTTCTACAGGCCCGAAGAGACTGAAAAAGGCTGAATCCATCTATTGTTACAAGGGCAACTGGATATAGGATACTCAATTCTTCATGCTTGGAAATTCAGAAAAAAAAATTACAGTCGTCAGTAATCAAGCAAAACATCTTTAGAGTGAATTATAAATCTCAGAGGTGTTTTGGCTGTAGTTTTTCCTATCTTCTCCACAAGTTGTTCAAACACTTGTGCAGATTTTGTCTGTCTGTCTGTCAGTCAGTCAGGTGACGAAATAAGGTGATCAAATATCTTCTACTCAACTCTAGACACCAAGCAAATATACCCTTTCAGGAATTTCTGAAAATCGGACACCAAAATCATTTTGCACTTTCCCAGTAAGAAATCCAAAGTAGCTTCCCTCTATTAACTGACGAAAACCACAACAATTTTGGGGTAAGCTATTCCACAGCATTACAACACAAACATGATAATAATGATTGAATATGTTCTTAAATATGCAAATGTTCTTTAACCAAACTTCACCAGGTTGAATTATGCAACTGTGTTATTAGCCATACATTCAAGTATTTCACATGATAAGAGCAAACTGAAGTAATTTAGTATTTTTTTCTAGATACTTAATATATATCTTCACTAACACAGAGTACAGTACCAGACACCAAATAATTAGTTTAAAACTAAAAATTTAGATAGGATTATCCTTGTATTATATGTGTATTACATAATTAATAGGTTATTTTATACAGCAGTTTCTAAAGTGATGCGGATGTGATCACCTGCTCTGTAACACCAGGATGTCTGGGAATTTCATAAGTCCGACATTTCAGTTGCAGAACTGGATCTTCATTTAAAAGTTGTGCTAAAAGAAGAACTCCATTCTGAAGAAAAAAAATAAAAGAATTGGAAAATTCTTCAGACATATAAAGTAACAACAGTTGTTACCATCCATCTTCTTAAGCAAACAAGCTTTATGACATCTTTATCTTCACTTCCAGCACAGGCTAGATCGGGGCTATAGGTAGCATGAGTTGACGTTATTCTCTATTTTAAAATTATTCGTGTTTAGTTACATTTTGCAATAGAGTTGTTGCTTCTCCCAGTTTAAACATGTATGAAACTAATCAATAGGGAGTGAATTTCCAAGCAATGATCAGGTATCCATCAATGTAAATCATTTTACAAGAGCAGCTTGGAAAAACAGAAGTGAACAGGTTCTGGAACAATATAGAAACACTATAAACAATAAGAGAACCACACCATGGGAAACAGAAACAGCAGCATGACAGGACTTCACACTGATCTTCTTTGAGAGGGAGTTACTTGATAGCTAAAGTGCAACAGGAGACCAACGTAATGCAAACCACCTCCATATCCATTCTCAGCATTCTGGGATCAGCTACTGTTGGGAACTTATTTTCATCTAAGTCTGTGCAGGATGGTCATCTCATTTATACAAAGGTGATTACTTCTCACATCTCAGTTAGTGAAGAGCATGTTTTTCATATTTTCCTTTATGATTATTCATCAAACTGCCTTATTTCTACCACAAAATAGAAAGAACTTTGGACTTCTATCCTTTGCACAATACATTTCCCAAAGGTAACCTTTGATCTCTAATCCAGGGCTTCCCAAACTAAGGGTCAGCAACCCAAGTGGGGTCATGAGCTTTGAAATAGAGTCTCACATTGGGACAGCAGGATGTCCAATGCAGCAGATTCCATGGGAACCCAGGAGATGGGTCAAGTTGTGTGAAAATGAGAAAGAAAAAAAATTACCAAAGCTGCTATCTGGGAAAAAATCTGGGCCATAAATTACGATCTCACCTGCTCCCCTTTCCCTGCATTTGTACTTTTCCAATTCTTATAAAAGATCATAGAGACTTACATGCTCACTGTTTCTCTCTTCATAGATGCTGCCTGATATGGATATTTCAAACATTTTATTGTTTTTATTTTGCCATTGTATTAACTTTTAAATTCAACATGGATCTCCAAAATGAAAATCTGAATTAATTACCTCAGTGTAAAATCGAACATATCCAGAGGTAAAACCAACAATTATACATGTCCAGTCTGGTCGGCCTGTGGAGCTTCTGTCGATCATTACAAAAAAGTTATTTAACTCAAAGTTTTCATACTTAAAGTATATACTGTCACAAATTTTTCAAAATCATAAACAATATATTCTGGAGCACATATACCATTATCATACAAATACAGCCCGAACGCAAAGTCTAGGCACAACTGCAGGTTCTTAGCAATCAGAGAACAAGGAAGAAACTTGCAAACATCCCCACAATATATGAAGAAGATGTTTATAGTTGTCATCTCAGAGGATTTTGAGATACTTGCCACCTCTGTTTAAGGGGCAGCACAGTGGCTCAGTGGTTAGCACTGCTGCCTCACAGCACTAGGGACCCGGGTTCGATTCCACCCTCCGGCGATTGTCTGTGTGGAGTTTCCTCCGGAGTGATCTGGTTTCCTCCCACAGTCCAAAGATGTGCAGGTTAGGTGGACTGGCTATGCTAAATTGGCCCTAGTGTCTAGGGTGGGAAATGCAGGTATAGGATAGGGGGCGGGGTCTGGGTGGTATGCTCTTGGGAGGGAATGTACGGACTCAATGGGGCGAACGGCCTGCTTCCACCCTGCAGAGTTTCTATGATTCTATGAAGAACTATCTAAAGGGATAGACTGGGTAGCTTCAGTTTATCAGTCATGGCCAAGTGTTGGCAAGGCATTGTAAGGATATCTAAAATAAACTTCATAAAACTTAGGTCATGTCTGCCAATTTAAGCAGCCAACACTATACACTTATAATGAAATTGAGGAAATTAAAAATGGATTTCAAAAGAAACGAAGGTTTGATAAATTAGGTATATGCTTGACAGAAAGTTAGTCACTTTTCCCCCCCCCGCCCCGACAGAAAACCTAATAGCTATTGTTTCTTTTCAAGAAAAATGGATTACAACTTGCACAGGTTCAGTTTTGGGGCTGTCAACTTAGAGTTCAAGAGTCCAACAGGCAACATATCAGAATTTGCAAATCAAAAGAAAATAGCTGATTGAAGATAAATCTTCTGGAGTAGTGACAGAATAGTAGTTAAGGCAGACTATTTAAGAATTAGGACATGAAATCTGAATGTAGGGAAACGAAAACGAAAAGAAATACATATACTTACTTGCAAGCAGGGATCAATATTAACACAAAACAGGTAGCCATGCCACCCTATTGCCACTAATATTATTTGCTGTCAACCTTCAACCACACCAACACCATTTCCCCTACTATTAATTTGATGGATGGTTACTACTGACCAGAAGCTTGATTAGAGCAGCTGCAGCAACTATGCCACTGTAAGAGCAGGGCCGAGGTTGGGCATTGTGGCAAACAGCTCAACTCCTAATCTTAAAAGGTCCCTGCACAACTGGCAAGGCACAGCAGCAAAGAAAGAATTCTTTTTAAAGAAGTCCTTGCTAGTTACAGCTACATCAATAGGTCAACACTATTTACAATAACATCAAAAGAACCTGTACAGCACTAAGCAAACAGATTAGCTGGCAGTGACATCCTGAACCACATATTCTCAAATGAAGAGCCTCATCTATTATAGCAACAGTGCAATTGCAAAACAATAAAACTGAGATTTAGTTATTGAAACCAACCAAATATTCCCAGCCCCCCTAAGAGACCATTTCTGGAAAAAAATAAATTTCAACAGACCAAAATCTTACAAGCATGAGAAGGTTTCAAGGCAACAGCCAATGTTGCTGAGAAACAGCCAAATTGTTAATAAAATTCTGAATAGAACAAACAGAAACATAGAAGATAGGAGCAGGAGGCGGCCATTTGGCCCTTCGAACCTGCTCCACCATTCTTCACGGTCATGGCTGATCGTCCAAATCAATTGTCTAATCCTGCTTTCTCCCCATAACCTTTGATCCCATTCCCCCCAACTGCTATATCTTCTTGCCACTTGAATACATTGAATGTTTTGGCATCATCTACTTCCTGTGGTAATGAATTCCACAGGCTCACCATTCTTTGGGCGAAGAAATGTCTCCTCATCTCCAACCTAAAGTCACCTACCCCGAATCCTCAGATTGTGACCCCTGGTTCTGGACACACCCAATGGGAACATCCTCCCTACATCTACCCTGTCTAGTCCTGTTAGAAATTTTCTAAGTCTCTAGGAGCTCCCCCCTCAGTTGTCTGAACTCTAGTGAAAACAATCCCAACCTAGTCAACTTCTCCTCATAAGTCAGACTTGCCATCCCCAGAACTAGCCTGGTAAACCTTTGCTGCACTCCCTCGAAAGCAAGAGCATCCTTCCTCAGAAAAGAAGGCCATAACTGCACACAATATTCTAGGTGTGGCCTCACCAAGGCTCTGTATAACTGCAATAATACATCCCTGCTCCTGTACTCGAAACCTCTCACAAGTGAAGGCCAACATACCACTTGCCTTCTTTACCACCTGCTGCACCTGCATGCTTACCTTCAGCGGCTGGCGTACAAGGACTGCCAACAAAGGGTTGCATAAGTGGTTATTTATTTTAAATGGCATCACTGAAGAAAACTCTTGGATTACTTTAAAGCTTCAGTTTATTCTCATTAAAAGCAGAATATTTAGCACACGTGCTAATTAATAATTTTAGTTTTTGCCACTTTACACACGGTGCCTACAAAATCGCTTTAAGTCAAGGTCACTCACTAAACGGAGAAAAAACTCCAAGTAGATCTTTCCAGCTAAGTTTTAGACAAGCAAATAAGTCAAAGATTTGAGTATCATGATTACCAAATGAACATGGAAGAATCAATCTTCATCTGCAATTTTTTTTTTAAAATGGAAATAAGATTGTTCAGGTATCATAAAAAAAAGTTAAAGATTTCTTATTTAATGAAGATTTTGTGTGTTTTGACCATACTTACACAGATATAAAGAGATCCTCAAGTACAAAAACACTTACCTTTTCTGACTTGCAAGTGGAATACAAATTGTACTATTGATGCATTCTCTGTCAAAAAAGATAATAAGCAATCAGATTAGAAGTCGCTTGTCATGTACATCACAGATCAAGTGGAACAAAAGCATCACTAAAGTCAAAAAGCTAAACTTACGGGTTAATTTAATAATTCAACTAGATACAAGCAGTTCACTCAGACAATTCATCTCAAATACAAGTGATTCAGACTTTAATTTGTTCTTACTAAATATGAATATTAAATATTCATAATTTTGTATTTAACACAAGATAGATTGCCTGAATCATCAGGCCCAAAAGCACCAATTTGGCTTTCAAAATCCACCATTTTGCTTTTTTTAAATTATTCGTTCATGGGATATAGGAAAGGCCAGCAATTATTGCCCATCTTTAATTCAAACTCAACCACATTTCTCAGGTCTGTGTCACAAAAAGACAAGATCAGTTAAGGGTGGCAGGTTCCCTTCCAGTTGGGTTCCAATGAACCAGTCGGTTTTTATGGTTACATGGTCACTAGTAGGTTATAGTTTTTTTTTTTTAAATTTCAAATATTTATTGAATTCAAATTTCACAATCTGCAATGGTGGGATTTGAATCCATTTTCAGGGTTCTGAACTTCTCATCCAGTGACATTACCACTACACCCTAGCTTATAGTATTTGATTATACAACGCCAGAAATCACACGAGGCAAACTGTAGCAGGCCGCTGTAGTATACTTGTACATTTTTAATATCTACTTTATACATTGTGTCTTGTACACAACAGAGCTGACACTTCCAAATCTCACAAACTTTGCTTCCTGTGTCGCGTTTAAATAAATGGCAACACCGCATGTTAATATCAGACTGCCAATGCCTTAACAAGCCGCTAGCGCTATTTTAATTTTTTTTTCCTTTATTCATTCACGGGATGAGGGCATCGCTGGCCAGGCAACATTTATTGCCCATCCCTAATTGCCCAGAGGGGAGCTAAAAGTCAACCACATTGCTGTGGGTCTGGAGTCACACATAGGCCAGACCAGGGAAGGATGGCAATTTCTAGCAAACTAGATGGGTTTTTCCTGACAATCAGCTGTGGCTTTATGGTCATCATTAGACTTGTAATTCCAGAAATTTATTGAATTCAATTTCCACCATCTGCCGTGGTGGGATTTGAATCCGGGTCCCCAGAACATTATCTGGGTGTCTGGATTAACAGTCCAGTGATAATACCACTAGGCCATCACCTCCCCAAATAATCACATTTTGACATATTGAACAAATTCCCTCAAATTTTTTCAATACTTGTACCCTTGTCCCCCAGCTTCCCCCCACCCCAAAAAGCACTGCTTCACTTAGTCATCAAAAATAACTACAGATTTTTTTCATAAAAATTTTTGAAACTTGCTCTTCAAGTAAAGTTCATGTTGAGCTTAGAAAAGAAAGATGGTTAAAAAAAAAACACACCGACTAAAAAAAGGTTAAGATGAATTTCTGTTTCTTGATGTGGAAGTCAGCATTGTGAGAACAGCAACATATTAACATTTAAGGCATACAGAAAGTTTTACAGGTTTACTATATTTTACTGTTTCAAAATGAATTGCATGCAATTCTCTAGGAGGTGAGGCTAATTGAAAAGGTTTTTAATTAGTCGTGCAGGGAGATAAGGGATCACAGAGTGCACAGCCAGGGGCAATCAACTGGAGAACAAAGACAGAACTTCATATTAAGCAGAGCTGCTGTCAACTGTGCTACTAACTACATGGGCTTTATGTAGTGAGCACTTAGGGTAGTTATACAACAATTGAATGGTTCTCGGTAATGAGAACTGCTGTGAAGGGCTTGACTGAAAGAGGGAATGTGCACAATTAATAGGTAAGTACAGTGTGTGTGTGTGCGCACACGCGTGTGTTTGGGGGGGGGAAGGAATGTGTGGGTGCAGGGTGAACAGCCCAAAAGCAGTATTTGTTTGATATAACTGAGCAAGATCAGGGTTCAGAAAAAACACAGGAACATAGCTAGCTTAGTGAAAAAATACTTGGAGAGCAGATCCAGGAAGGAGGGTAACTGACCAGAATAGAAGGGAGGAAGTCCAATGACAGGAAGTCTCTTTAATTCACTCACAGGATCGTGGATGTCACTGACTAGGCCAGCATTCATTGCTCATGCTTAATTGCCCAGAGGGCAGTTAAGAATCAACCACATTGCTGTGGGCCTGGAATCACATGTAGGCCAGACTAGGTAAGGATGGCAGTTTCCTTCTCTACAGCACTAAATGAACCAGATTTTCTTCCATAAAAGGGGGCCAGATGGTTTTTATGACAATCAATGATAGTTTCACTGACACCATTACTGAAATGGCTTTCAATTCCAGATTTATTAATTGTAATTAAATTCTACTAGCTGTCATGGTGGGATTTGAACAAGTGTCCCTAGAGCTTTAGCCCCTGGGCCTCTGGTTTACTAATTCAGTGACACTGCCACCAGGCAACTTTCTCCCCCCTTTATTTCTCCATTAATTGATTAGAAAGCAAGAGGAGGAACAGCTTAAACGTTCTGTGGAACAGACAATTAAAAAAAATAATAATGGCTGTGTAGCAATTGTGCAGTTAAATAGAACATTTCAGATTCAGACTAAATTGGAGTCTCCCTGCTACTTGCCTGACGGCGTCAGAAATAAATCGGGATGCAACAGGCAGTAAGCATTCAATTAATTATTCTTACTTTCAACCAAGACAAATCCATTGGAAGAATTTTACATCTTAATGTGACACTAAATTACAAATAATCCTCTGCAAAAGTGTATACATTGTGTTGTTTTCAAACTGGCCTCACCGTACAGATAATTTTCTCTTGAATAGAAACTCAGTTCCCCAACTTCCATTTCATGCTATCTAACAATTCTACAGAGGGGGTTTTGGGGAATTCTGGAGGCTTCAAATTGGCATATAATTAAACAACCAATTGCTTTGGGCCTGCTTTGTGTAGCAACTCATTCACAGATCAAGGGTCCAATAATATTTTTCCTTTATTCTTTCCTGGGACATGGGAGTCACTGACAAAGCCACCAATTTTTGCCCATCCCTAATTACCCTGGAACTGAGTGACTTGCTAGCTCATTTCAGGCAGCAGTTAAATGTCAGCCACTTTGCTGTTTGTCTGGAGTCATATGTAGGCCAGATCAGCTAAGGGTGGCAGATGTCTTCCGTAATGTGACACTAGTAAACAAGACGGATTTTTATGACAGTTGGCAATAGTGCCAGGGTCACTATCACAGAGACCACAGGGTCAGAGAACGACAGTAATGGACAGAGAAAAAAAAACTAGGGATACACAAATAATCAAAACTAGATAACAAAAATAAAATTAAAGTCTCTGTATGAATGCACACAACATTTATAAAGTAAACAAGTTTATAATGCACACTGAAGTAAACAACTATGATCTGAAAGCCATTATAGAGATATGGCTATAAAGGAGAAGTGTTGGGTTCTGAACATTTATTTTCATTCACAGGGTGGCCTGGCCAGTGACACTCTCTTCCCTAATTGCCCAGAGGCAGTTAAGTGTCAACCACATTTCTGTGGGTCCGGAGTCACATGTAGGCCAGACCAGTTAAGGAAGGCAGTTTCCTTCCCTAAAAGGACATTAAAGAACCAGATTGGTTGTCTGACAACCGACAATGGCTTCTTGGTCATCATTAGATTCCTAATTACAGATTTTTATTGAATTCAAGCTCCACCATTTGCCACGGTGGGATTCAAACCTGGGTCCCCTAGTGGTATTATCACTGGACTGTTCATCCAAGAGACTCAAGTAATATTCCAGTGAACCCGCTGTCTCCTCTCTCTCCTCCCCCTTCCAAGTTGGGTTGGTTCTTGCTGATGTGAAGATACCTCCTCAACCTTCCTTTTTCCAAATGCTTCCACTAGTTTCCAAGAGGCACAGGGTAGGTGGTTCACTTATGAGGGACCCTGACCTGTCCAATTTCAAATCACAACATGCAGCTTCTGCTGGAGGAAAGATAAGCTGGTTTTCTTCAGGTTTAAAGTGGCTTGCTGCAGAAATTTTAGAGTTTTTAGCTGCTGATTTCTCTTCTGCCCTGACTAGCTTTTCTCCATCACATCAACAACCCAGTTATCTGACAACCAATTACACAGTTGTTATCATCAGAGACCTTTGTCATCGATAACTGGTTTGTGGACTAGGGACCAATCAGCTTCACTCAAACATCCCCTTGGCTTGAGTTTGCACATTGCTAGAATCCACAGCTACACAAAAAAGGTTCACAATTGGCACTTAATTCCTTGCTTTCAAAATACACAGCCACCCTTGAAAATCCTTGGGTTTTAAAAAGCACAGAAATAAGAAGACAGTCTTTACACAGTCTACTTTAATAATAAACAGGTACTGGTTCCCAATCATATAATATAATTTGTTGATTTCGACTAGGATGATGATAGATTTACTACTCTGGTCTAGGATAATAAAGGTACTTAATGTGTAAATCATGGGAGTATTCTCAGTAGAGATAGAGATGTGTGATACAGCATGCAGAAGTTTACTCTAGCATATTCATCATGCATTAAATCACTTGAAGTCCTCACTAACCTTTAAAGCTGTATTTATACCCTCGAGAAAATTACATTTTTGGGCTAAACTTAGATCTGCAACAGTTCTACTATGGAATCAGAAATTTATTTTAGGCAAATTAAAACATTTTTCTCACCATCCCCAAATTATTAGTTTCCCATCATTCAATCTCTGATCTTGAGGCTACAGCATTCAAACTAAACCAAACAAATAATGTGCAGGCAATGACAGGGGTAAACAGGAGAATAAAAGAGAGAATCTGGGAATTTGGACTTGCAAGCGTGGAAGTTTACCAGGCATTTGGATCAGTGCTACAGAGGCTGGAAAAATTGCATAAAGCGGTAGATCAATTATCTGCCATCTTTCTACTTTGCTCTGGGATTTCCCAGCATCTGAATGATAGGAATCCGCGCGAGTGAAAAGCATTGACAGATATGGTAACTACAATGCTATTAAATCTCACTTGCGCAGTACCTCTTTCTCATTGTTCACAGCAAACTGAAGGCGGCATGTGCTCAATGGAAAGTCACCAAGATCAGAAGGCAATCACAGGAGCAACATACAAAAGGGGAAAATCAACAGTAAATGAGTTGTACATTGCTTACTACCAGGTATTTTCCCGAAGTGAATAGGTTTCTACTTATTCAATGTGCAGCTAGTATGCAATCATAATTAGGTCCTATAATGATTGTGATTTTTTGGGCCATGACACTTTTACCTTCGAGCAGTTGAAAGGCCTCACAGTCTCAGTGAATGGCTGCTGGATGACAAGATATAAAACCAGAGGATCTGGTTTCTGATACCACTGCACCACACCTCATGCATCTCTGCAGTGAAGTTCACGAAGTGTTGTACTTCTACCAGAGCTTCAACACAGCAAGCAATTCAAATCTAGCAGAGCATATTGGTATCTAAAAACCTTCAGAGGAGAAAGAAGATGGAGGATGGGCTGGTGTGGCAGGAACAGAGGTGCTACTGACACATCCAGGCATAGCCCTGCACGCTAGAGGATCCTGCGACACCTTCATCCTCGTCATTTCAACTGAGGGGAATATAATCTCAATTTCCCTCCTGCCAGTGATTTCCCTAGCACGTACACAGCATCTTCACATACCTACCCCTCCTCACAAGTGCTGTGGCCATCTTGAGGTGGGCCCCCAATGCCATCACTTCTGCTTACTTCTCTTACTTCTCTCCCTGTGCCAATCTCCCAACTCCTTGCAAACAGTAGGAGAAATATTTCAATGCACTTGAATGTAGTATTTAGTCACCAAAGTGGCTGCTTGCTGAATGCTTTTCAAATTAAACCACCATTATATGAAGACCATTGCTGGGCATCTTCATCCATTCTTTGCCTCACAGTTTGGCAGGCCACTCACGGAAATAATGGATCTTGCACCTTCAGCACGAAGAAATTACTCTGCCTCTGGTAATTTTGACAGTTCATTACACGTTTCCTTTTTCTGCTCCACAAGCACCCACGTAATGGGCAATCTGGGAACCTCTGCAAACGTGTTCAGCTTAGCAAAGCTGGATACCTCCCTACTCCCTGCAGAGTTTTCATAGATGTCTCCAGATCTACTTCTGGAAAGACAGCTTGCGCCATCCTTTCTATCTGTGATGCTGGGCCCTCTGAGGTCAGAGTATTGCGCTAGTGGGGATGCATGTCATTTAATGGTGTTTCTTCAGGGTACTGCTCCTCCTGAAGTTTGGCCAGTCTCCTCCCTCATCTCCCACTGTATCTGCAGCGATGCCCTTTCAGGAGATCAAAAACAAAACTAATCAGCATGGACTGAGCTGACTGAAAGGTGAAGTCCTTCTATTTCTCTGATCATTATATTTCTCCTACAGGTGAGCACGGTTCTTTATGCTCATGTCAGAGGCAGCTACAAATGTCATTTTTGAAATTTCACCTGTTGCTATGACACTCTCTCTCTTATTAGGGACAAATTGAAGTGAGGGTACCTTGCCAACTGAGGGCTAACTGCTCTATTGCTGTCACCATGTCCAAGGATGCCTCTGCATCCTTGTTTCTGCACCTGACCTGGGATTTGTACTACCTTGCAGTGAAAGATGAATCCACATCCTCTGTGCCTCACTTCAGCTGCTCATCATCTCCATGACCTCCATGATCTCCATGATCTGCTTTGAAAGGTTGGCTGGTTGCCTCTTTCCTGCCATTTTCTGGAAAAAAAAGTCTGTGTGCTCACCATTTCCAACATCAAGGTCATCTGCTGTATCCATAAACCAGGGTGCTGTCTTTCATCTTCCTCCTTCTCTTGCTTCTACAGCTTTGCTGTCATAAATACAATTCTGCCTTTGCAAGTACTCCCCATGTCCCTATAAAAGGCTCCATGCTTAACCCTGCTTCGGACTGGTCATAGAGTCTTCGAGATATACAGCATGAAAATAGACCCTTCAGTCCAACTTGTCCATGCCGACCAGATATCCTAAATAAATTTAGTCCCATTTGCCAGCATTTGGCCTATATCCCTCTAAGCCCTTCCTACTCATATACCAATCTAAATGCTTTTTAAATGTTGTAATTGTACCAGCCTCCACCACTTTCTCTGGCAGGTCATTCCGAACACGCACCACCCTCTACCATACAGCATTGAAACAGGTCCTTCAGTACAACTCGTCCACGCTGACCATGTTCGCAAACTAAACTAATCCCACTTACCTGCGTTTGGCCCATATCCCTCTGAACCTTTCCTATCCATGTGCTTATCCAAATGTCTTTTAAAATTTTGGAACTGTACCTGCATTTACCACTTCCTCTGGCAGTTCATTCCAAATGCAAATCACTCTCAGTGTAAACAAAAAACTGCCCCTCATGTCTTTTTGAAATTTTTCTCCTTTCACCTTAAAAATATGCCCTTGAGCTTTGAACTCCCCCACCCTAGGTGGAAGGCCCTGGCTATTCAACTTATCCATGCCCCTCATCATTTTCTAAACATCTTTAAGATCACCCCTCAACCTCCTACACTCCACTGAAAAAAATCCCAGTCTATCTTCATAACTCAAAGCTTCCATTCCCAGCAACATCCTGGTAAATCTTTTCTGAACCCTATCCAGTTTAATAATATCTTTCCTACAATAGGATGACCAGAACTGCACACAGTACTCCAGAAGAGACCTCACCAACATCCTACTTAACCTCAACATGATGTCTTAACTCCTATACCCTAAAGGTCTGAGCAATGAAAACAAGCATGCCACCCTATCTATATGTGACACGAATTTCAACGAGTTGTGTACCTGAACCCTTAGGTCTCTCTGTTCTATAACACTACCCAGGGACCTACCATTAATTGTATATGTCCTGTCCTTACTTGTTTTACCAAAACGTGATACCTAGCATTTATCCAAATTAAACTCCATTTGACACTCTTCAGCCCATTGATCCAATTGATCAAGATCTGTTTGCAATCTTAGATAATCCTTTTCACTGTCCACTACACCATAAATTTGTGTCATCTGCAAACTTACTAACCACATCTCCTAAATTCTCATCCAAATTCTTTATAGAAATGACAAAGTGGACCCAGTACCAATTCCTATGGAACACTGCTAGTCACAGGCCACTAGTCCAAAAAGCAATCTTTCACCACAACTTTCTTTCTCCTACTGTCAAGCCAATATAGTATCCAATTGTCAAGTTCACCCTGAATCCCATGCGAGATAATTTTACTAATTAGTCTACCATACGGAACCTTGTCAAAGGCTTTAGTTAAGTCCAAGTAAACAACGTCTACCACTCTGCCCTCATTATCCTTTTTGTTTATTTCCTCAAAAAACTCAATTAAGTTTGTGATACATGATTTCCCTTGCACAAAACCATGCTTATGATCCTTAATCAGTCCTTGCCTCTCCAAACGCATGCAAATCCTATCTTTCAGAATCAGCTCCAACAACTGACCTACCACCGATGTCACAGCTATATAGCTCCCAGGCTTTTCCTTACAACTTTCCATTCACTATTCCAAATTACATGAATCTTAGAGTTGTGAAATTGGAAAGCCCTTGCAATATTCACACAGAAAGCTACATACACTACACCAGAAATGAAGCTCTTAACATACAGTTCAAGTTTCAGTCTCGTATCTTTTAGATCGGTTACTACAAATGTACACTTGTTCCAATTTGCTGCAGTGGGCTTGATCATTAATTATATGGTATTCAAACATCAAATAAAGCTACACGGGGATTCTTAAATTTTAAAAATATAACTGTAAAAGATGCAATTTAACAAAATTTATTCCAAGTAAATAACCATCCAGGGTCACAACAAATCAATACTAAGTGCAAAACAGCTCTTCTTTCCACGTGCAAGTATTTCAAGTTACAAGTACCTGTGGACTGTAAATTGATTTTAAAATATAGCCCGATTTATGACTGTATGTTTTCTACAGCATGCAATATCATGCATATCTCCAGGAGTGCCATTTAATCAGTCAAACAAGTACATAGTTTTTCTTCACACCATCCTAGGATTTGATTTTTGTTTTACCCCTTAGCCACAAACTATTCTACGACCAAAGCACGCAAATGAGTTGCTCATAGGCCACTGCTAATCAAGTACATCTTAATGATGGGATCCTAAGGGGACTCTGAATTTAGCCTCCAAGGCATCTGCTTTTTCCCTCCTCTATGGCATCCTATGATTAAACATCAGCATGCAGGAAATCATATTGCAAAATACAAGTGATTCATGGTTTTGCAGCACATGACATTGGGATATCAACACAAAATCCAACAGATCCCTTTTTTTTGCAACATGCGAACATTTATTTGGCAATTAAACAAAACAAAATTACATTGTCACAACATATATTACATAAATTTCTTTCAAAGATTCACAAGTTCTTTGCTTGCAGGCAATCATCCATTTAAATAAATGATGTGATCAAAAATACCATCATTAACTCCAGTACTCTCACTAAACTATACCTACCCTTCTTCAACGCTCAAGATACCACTCCACGTAACACAATACTGCATTTCATCTTTAGCCTTTTCATTAGGCTTCCATTTTGCTTAAAAAAAGAAAATTCATAAATTAGAAGGCAGGCTATTTCTGGAAAGGTCATAAATTTTACAAGCAGACCACTATAACAATAAAAATTAAATTACACAATAATTAAAAACAGAAAATGTTGGAAATACTCAGGAAAAGTCAGGCAGCACCTTTAAACAAAGAAAGGCTTCAAGAGTATATGTATCAGAACCAAGTAGTTAATGATATGGGAGGTATTCAGCTAGTCAACAAGGCAGAGAAGGCAAATGCAAGGAGGGGGGAGAATGAACTCTTTCTCCTTTCATTGATATTACTTGACCTAGTAAATATTTGCAACATTTTCTGGAGATTCCCCACCCCACCACTAGCTACAAGTGATTTGCTTTTGAATTATCCAGTATTATATTCCAATAAAAGTAAGCTTAAGCCACAAAAAATAAATTTAAACATTAACTGTAAGTAAACAAATATTCATAAAGGAGCTAATACTTACGCACTAGAAATACAGCTTTCTGATCTCTTGCTATCACCATAAGATCATTTGTTGGTGACAGCGAGATCACACAGTCTTGAAGCCATGACAATGCGGGCACGTTACTTGTAGAACGATCTTCCCTCTGCAACAAATTTCAGAACTTAGAAGTAAATATATTATTAGTAAAATTAAATCAAAACAAAAAACACCTCCCAGATCATATGACTGCTCTTTCATTACAGACAACTGGTGGCAGTTTAACCTGACGGTCACCATCCCTCAACTGAGGGAAAAGTCCTTCATGGTACCATAGCCAGCGTGGAAACCGAACCCACACCGTTGCCGTCACTCTGTATTGCAGACTGGTATCCAGTCAAATAGGCTGATGTGCTTTAATTATAATTTTATTAGCTTTAATCGTATTAGAAACAGAGAAAACTGAAAAATTGAGTCTATGTCATTATTATATGTGTCTATGACTTGCATTACCAATGCTATTCAAGGAGTAGGACTCCAAAAGGAATAATTGAGATGGTAGCCATTCTAACTTCCCCAACATATTGGCCTTGAATGTGAAGATAATTTGCTGACCTTTATCTTTATATTGTCTGCAAACACAAGCCCATAAACTGCTGCAGAGAAGCACATCTAAAAGGAGTTTGCCATTAGTTAATGCATTTATTTTTAAAAGCAAAGTTGCTGAATATTCAGGGACTGACTATGTCACAGCAATGCAAATTCTGCATCTGGAACCTAAGCCAACAGGCAGATAATCATTGATATTGCTAGGAGGGGAACAGGGGTGAATTGGCAGCCCTCTTTTCAACATCCCTAGTTGGCCACAAAGATTTAGTATTCTATTTAGCACATCTTAGTTCAATAAATATGTAAATTAACTAGTTCACCAGAAACCAGTTAAGGAGTCAATTTAAAAAGGTTCTTCTTGAGTGAAAGGAAGAACAGTTTTATTACTTGCTAACGCCAAGAAATAAAAGTTACAGAAACAAGCACAAAGTTTTAAATTGCTGCAGTCCAGTAGAAAAATTAAGATAAAGAGCATGCAGTTTCAAGTGCTTAAGGCGTTCAAGGTGTTAGGCTTTTACCCGAAACCGTGGACAGTTAGAAAAGGTTCGGATCAATTGCAACTGTGAATATTGCAGGTATCAGAGTTCTTGGCTCAGTATAGAGTCAGAGTCAGAGTCATACTGCACAGAAACAGACCCTTCAGTAATTGGATCTTTCTTCAGAGTGGTGTTATCACTAGCTGTGTGTGCATGAGAGAGAGCAAGACCTCCTTACCCAGTCACACATCTATATTTCGCCTCTGCCAAACAAAAGCTCCCAGAAGTACAACTGCTTTGTGTATCCCAATATCAGAGTTCCTTGTTTTCAAGTGGATTAATCTCAGGAGTTTTTTTTTCCAAAGAAAACACAAATCAAACTCAAGGTACAGATCTAGATTACCGATTTCAGTTACTTTGATAATGTATTAATTTGAGTTCAGACTAGTTCCTGTTTATTGATTGTTTCATGAAGCTTGGTTCAACCTGGGGGTCAGGGCATCATAATAACCATTTTTAAGTCAGTGTTTCTTTTCCCTCTTTGAAACCATTTCAGTGCATGAAAATCCCTGGCACTAAAGGGGCGGCCAGAGGTTCAGCGGTTAGTACTGTTGCCTCAGTGCCAGGGACCCAGGTTCAATTCCACCCTCTGGCAACTGCTTGGAGCTTGTACATTCTCCCTATGTCTGAATGGGTTTCCTCTGGGTGCTCCGGTTTCCTCCCACAGTGCGAAGGTGTGCAGGTTAGGGGGACTGGCTATGCTAAATTGTCCCACAGTGTCTAGAGATGGGCAGGCTAGGTGAATTGGCCATGGGAAATGCAGGGTTACAGGGATAGGATGGAGGGGAGAGGCTGGGCGGCCTACTCCCACACTGTAGGGATTCTATGATTAAAAGCAGATGATGAAAATCAAAAACTGATAGTCCATATTTTATTACCATGCCTCACCTTAATAAGTCAAATCAAAAGAACTGTGAAAGTAACAGTGCAAGGACCAAGCAGAAGAAATCATTGTATAATAACAATAATAGGTGAATTCAAATGTATCAGGTGCAGAAAAGAGATATGTTGAAAGGGAATAAACATTGGATTAAGAGGAGAAAAGTGTCAGCAATAAAACAAAAAGATAAATTTACATCCTTTAAAATGTTCAACAATTAAAATTTCAAGGAAGAGACTCCAAACTCAATGGTAATTTTCACCAGCAGAGATTGACTGACAGTAATTAACAATGATCAGGGTGCTTTAAGAATGTGCGGACTAAAACAGGTCATGTTTAAATCTTCGAATCAACAAGGTGGTGTACAGCTGGATGAACACAGCAGGCCAAGCAGCATCATAGGAGCAGGAAGGCTGACGTTTCAGGCCTAGACCCTTCATCTAGGCCTGAAACATCAGCCTTCCTGCTCCTAGGCCTGCTCTACACCTTGTTGTCTCAGATTTTCCAGCATCTGCAGTTCCTACTATCTCTGATACATGTTTAAATCTTCCATGGGGATCTTACTTCATACCTATCACCCATGATTCCAGTGAAGACCAATAAGCCAAAAGAACCAAAATTTACCAAAGGAATCCAATAAGAAACCAATGCACAAGACTTCACTTTTTACAACTTTTGCTTTAACAAATCGGAATGAACAAACATGCATACACAGATAAATCAGTTAATACATATTATGAATTACACATTAAATTGCAAAGAATAATCCGAGATTAATTTGGCAACCTACTCTGGACATATGGCATCTATTTCAGGCATAATCCTTTAAGGTTCTGTTCTTCCTCAGTAGACTTCCAGCCCATTTTTCTTTGAAGATTCAGCCACTGATTCTTGTCTGATTGCAGCTTCCAAATAACCTAGTTCCAGGGCTACAATCCTCAATCTTCAACAACACAGTATAGTTCTCCAGAACCTTACCAGCTCTGCTTCCAACAGTCTGAATGGTGTGGATTCACCACTATTATCCTTACTTGAACACTCATCGGTGTTTTTCAAACAAATTCATTTGTGGGTGGTGGGCATCACTGGCTTGCTAATTATCCATCCTGAATGTCCTCAAGAAGGGTGGTGAGCTGTCTCCTTGAACTGCTGCATTCCATTTGGTTTAAGTTTACCCACTGCACAAGAGATATTTCCAGGATTTTGACCAATGACTGTGAAGGAACAGTGATGTGGTTCCAAGTCAGGATGGTGCATAGCTTACAGCTGCCAGACAGCACAAGTTTGGAAGATGCTGTCACACGAGCCTTGTTGCAGAGTGAAAGAAAATATTTGTATGTCCGTTTGAAAGGGTTACCACTGAATGCAATAAATACCACCCACTTTGATGCGGTCATAAGGAGTTAGAGAGAAAGAAAATGTGGATCTTTGGGAGAAGTAATGTACAGCTTATTCTTGTAACCAGAAGAGTTGCAGAGATGCATCTTGATGGCTCTAGTAGGCTCTTCTCATTAGATCAGAATGTGACACCCCTCACACACAAACTGCCATCTAAGCCCCTAAAGAACCTACACACTGAAGATACGGATGATAGCACACACAGCATGGTGCTCTATACAAACTGTCAAAGAGACACACAAAAGCCAATGCAGTGGCTAGGACTTTCACCAGACAACGTTCATACCAACGTTGTTCTGCAAAGTAGCATCACAAGGCAAACAGTTCCCAGCTATTACAATAAAAGCATTTGTTTTTAAAAAATATGCCACTTTCACCAAATGTGCCAAATTAGGAGACAACACAGAGGAAGAAAAACTGAAAAACTACCCACACAAGGGAGGTAAATGAAGTAGAAAAGTCTCCACAAAATCAAAGTTTCCGAAGGGAATTCAATGACCCATTCCAATCATTTTGGCACACTGACATTTGTTAATGGGTATATCACAAATTTCAAGTTGAACACAGGAGCAAGTGTTACAATATTATGAGATAGTGAGATTTGGTAAAAAAAAACTGTTTACATTTGACAGATATTCAACTACATAGTGAGAGGCAGTGCACTTATTGTTCAGGAATGCAAAAAGCAACTATCCAACAGAGGAGATCAAATTCTAGAAAACCTATGTGTACTTCACAACCAAGAATCTTCAGTTCTAAATATAAAGACATGCATTGGCCTCTATCTCATTCAAAAACTTGAAGAGCTTGAGCAACAAAAAGTGAAGGAACAATCAGAAGATTTTAAATCAGGCTTCATTATTTCATAGCAGAACCTAAATGAAAAGAAAATCTGAGGTTATGTTGGAAGATTTTTTTCAAAAAAAAAAGTCAATGAGTTAGAAAGCAGTAACTACACAGGTTTGGCAGATATGTTTTCCACTGCCACCAAAACTGGAAAGACTTCAGAGTCAAAGTGCGAACAAACTTTGAGAAGATAGATAAGCAAAGAGACAGCAACTGAATAGTATGCCTAATTCAAGACAAATGAAACATTTGCAGCTGTATTAAGTCAGATTACAACATGATGCAGTTAAGAACTGGATATGATAGATCCAAATTACACAAGATACCAAGATGATTAGGAAAGGACAAGACAAAGTAAAATATCTGATCTCCCCATCTTCCAAAGATGGATCTTCAATAACCATAATGGATAATCACTTCAAACATTAAGGAATCTTCGATTAACACAACTGAGGAAGTATACAAGTTGGTTTCACCGATAGTTCAATTACGGAGGGCAAACGAGGAAGCCCTAACTAATCAACAAGTGGGAGTAGAATCAGTCTACACACTTACATGGGAGGTCCGAGAAGAAATCTCCACTGACAGAAATTCGAGACATGGTTCATACCATCACTTGGAAGGCAATACTAAGAAGAGACGTGCAATGTCTAAAGATTCAAAATACCGCAAAGGAAAAAAAAAAAAGAGACTGCGCTGGTGGGGATGACATTCTTTGTGAAAAATATAAGAGATTAGAGATTATCTAGATCAGAAGAGAACCCCAAATTTTCACAAAGACAATCCCAGATAACTACCCTCTACTAAACAAATTACCATTCTTCCAAGAACAAAAACAAAGTTGCTGGAAAAGCTCAGCAGGTCTGGCAGCATCTGTGAAGGAGAAAACAGAGTTAACGTTTTGGGTCCAGTGACCCTTCCTCAGAACTGATGGCGCCTGGGAAAACATCAGTTTATATGCAGAAAATGGGAAGGTGGGTAGGGTACGGAGTAAACGATAGGATAGAGCCCAAAGAGAGAGAAAGACAGTTGGACAGACAAAGGAGTTGCTAACGATCAGGCTGGGAGGGTGAATAGTTGTTAATGGGGACTATTAGTGACTAACAACTGGGGTTTGTACTAGCAGCCTATGTGGTAACAAGGCCTGGTGTGTGGGGTAGGGGGCTGGGACATGGGAGAGTTTAGGCCCTAAAATTATTGAACTCAATATTGAGTCCAGAGGGCTGTAGGGTCCCCAAACAGAAAATGAGGTGTTGTTCCTCCAGCTTGCACTGGGCTTCACTGGAACACTGCAGCAAGCCAGAGATGGAGATGTTGGCCAGGGAGCAGGATGGTGCATCGAAGTGGCAGGCAACAGGTAATTCAGGGTCTTTTTTGCTAGCAGAACGTAGATGATCTGCAAAGCGGTCATCAAGTCTACACTTCATTTCCCCAATGTACAGGAGACCACATTGTGAGTAGCAAATGCAGTAGACTAGATTGTGTGAAGTGCAGGTGAAGTTTTGTTTCACTTGGGAGGTATGTTTGGGCCCTTGGACACCGGGGAGGGAGGAGGTAAATGGGCAGGTGTTGCACCTTCGCCAGTTACAGGGGAAGGTGCTGTACGGCTATGGGGAGGTGTTGGGGTTGAAGGAAGTGTGGACCAGGGTGTCCCAGAGGGAACGGTCCCTGCGGAAGGCGGACAAGGGAGGGGAGGGGAATGTGTATCTGGTGGCGGCATGTCGCTGGAGTTGGTGGAAATGGTGTCTGATTATCTTCTGGATGTGGATGCTGGTGGGATGGTGAGTGAGGATAAGGGGAACCTGATCGCTGTTGTGGGAAGGAAGAGAAGGGGTGAGGGCAGAAATGCGGGAGATGGGTCGGACCTGGTTGAGGGCCCTGTCAACAACGGAGCTGGGGAATCCTCAGTTGAGGAAAGTGGACATTTCGGAGGCTCCCTTGTCGAAGTTGGCCTCATCTGAACATATGCGATGGACATATGCAAACATATGCAACTATTCTTCTAAGTCCTGAGAGAAGACGTTGAAATAGTAAAACTTACCAATTTCTAAAGCCAAACACTTGGTGGAGATGTGTTAGTGATAAATGTAACTATATAAACAAATATATAACAATAACAACCATCTGAAAAAGCTTGACGGAGAAGTGCCTGAAGGGGTTCACACTTAATTTGAGTGCAATAACCACCACTCACTTTCATAATGTCACAAGGATCTGGTGACAAAGCCAAGTAGGATCTTGTGGGAGATTGTTCGAACGCTGGTCCTCCAACAGTCACTCTGCTAACGTACAGCCTATTTGTATAATCTGTAAATAATTACTGAAATGCAATAAACTAAATCTCATTTACTCCAAGTCTTTACTCATTAGATGAGAAGTTGGCTATCCTTGCACATTCTAGAGTACGTAAGCCTCTAAATTATAAAGTATACAACCAGGACTGTTTGGACACAGTGGTAGTCTCCCTATCTCTGGGCCAAGAGGCCTAGGTTCAAGTCTCACTATTCCAGAATCGTTATAACATCTCTCAACAGGTTGATTAGCAAATATCTATAACCAATTCCTTTGTCAAACTAATTCCTGTCCCTAATCCCACAAGGCTCAACAAGATGTTAATTAACAATTTCAATACAAACAACATAAAAAGAGAATAAAGAACAATTTAGTCATACAGGCTCTTTCAATTCACCATCTTCCCATGCTCCCCAGTCTTCATCTTCCCAATTGTGTTCTTTCTCTGTAGGAAAGAAACAAAACATTAATTAATTACAGCCCACATAACTGGTACAATTTTAATAAGAAATGAACAGATTTCGCAGAGCATGTCACTAAAATGACCATGTTGTTTTGTAACAATGAAGTTAATGTTTGTTAAGTTAAAGTTGTAGCAACAGTGGAGCAATATTCTTTCATGGAGAAAAATCAGAGTTAACATTTCGAGTCCAGTGACCCTTCCTCAGAACTGATGGCAGCTAGGAAAATGTTGTATTTTTAATGTAGAAGATAGGGTTGGGCAGGGCGCAGGAGGTAAGGAATAGACGTTAGGTGGAAGTAGAGTCCAAAGAGACAAAACAGTTAGATAAAGGAGTGGATAGCGATCAGGCTAGGAGGGTGAATAGCTGGACGGGAAACATTAACTCTGATTTCTCTCCACAGATGCTGCCAGACCTGAGTTTTCCCAGCAATTTGTTTCTGTTTCTGATTTCCAGCGTCTACAGTTCTTTTGGTTTTAAATGTTCTTTCATGTTGTACTGACGCTGGTCTTCTATTGTAAATACATCAGAATCTTGAGTCAATTAAACCCTTTAACAGATTTAGTATCCATATATGTTATTGTTAAAAAAAAACTTGCACAAACATTTCTAACATGTCTACACTATTATATGGTCGAAAATGCTCCCGAGAACGCAATGGCCTAAAATTTTTAGATAACAAGCTCAAAGACGGCACGTAAAAAATGAGAAAGTCTTGATTGGTGGTAGAAAATATGTATGAGTAGGCCATTTAGCCAGTTGAGCCTGCTCCTTTAATATATTCATTGCTGCCTGATGTGTTCAATGATCTTTACCCACACTATTGCCATAATCCAACACACCACTAGTCGTCAGAAATCTATCAATCAATCTCTACTTTAAATATGCTCTAAGGCTGAGCTCCCACTGCTCTCTGGGGTACAACAATCCAAAGATTCACAATAATCTGAGTAAAGAAATTTTGCCATCTTGATCCTAAATAGTATTCCCTTATTTTTAAATTACATCCCCTGATTCTAGGCTCCCCAAAAGGCAAACACCTAACCTGTCTATCTTTCGAAGTATTTTGTAGGTTTCAATGAGATCACCTGTTATTCTTTGAAACTCCAGAGAATACAGGCTCAGTTTACCTAATATCCTCTTCAAAGAGCATTTCCGTCAATCCAGGAACAAGTCTGGCAAGCATTCATTATGCTTCCTCTCTGGCGTATTATCTTTCCTGAAGTAAGACGACCAAAAGTGTGCACATTATTCTGGGTGCAGTCTAACCAGGCTTCTATTCAATTGAAGAAAGGTTTCTCTACTCCTTTTCCTCAAATCATCTTTCAATATAGGCAGACATTCTGTTAGCCTTCTTAATAGTTTGTCGCATTTAGATGTTAGCCTTCAGCGACTTAACGACAAGAACACACAGGTCCCTCTGCATATCTAGATTTTCTAACTTCTCATCACTTAAGAAATACTCTGCACATCTGTTCCTTTAAAGTGGATAACCTTAACTTTTCATACTTTCCGCCATTTTCATGCCAACTCACTAAGCCTGTCCAAATAAATCAAGGAAACCTAGATTCTTGGGGAACAGAGTTAATTTTCACTTGAAGAAACAAGGATTAGTCAAGGGAAGTCAGCATGGCTCTTTCATGGGAAATCACATCTAACAAATATGATTAAATTTTTGAAGGTGGTGACTAGATGTATAGATGAAGGCAGCGCAGTTGATGTAGCGTACATGGACTTTAGTAAGATTTGTACAAAGGTCACGCATGGCAAGCTGGTTAAGAAGCTAAGAGATGGATTATGAGCAATCTGGCAAATTGAATCTAAAATTGGTTTCGTGGTCGGAAGCAGAGGGTGATGGCTGAAGGGTATTGTGTGACCAGAAGCCTGTAACTAGACCTGGGTGTCCTGCTGTTTGTTGTATACATTAATGATCCAGACACGAGTGTAGGAGTTAGGATCAGTATTTTTGTAATGGTACAAAAACTGATGGTGTGCTAAATAAAAAGGAGAAAAGCCTTAGACTACAGGACGATACGGACATGGTAGTCAGAGGGCTGAACAGTTGATCCAATTGTAACTTCGAATTCACATACTAACCTGTCCCTGATAACTGTTCATCCACTGGTAACCAAAAATCTACCTACCTCTGCTTTAAAAATATTCAAAATCCCTCCTTCCACTACCTTTTCAGGGGAAGACTTCTAAAGATTTAAAATCACCCCCCCCAAAAAAAAACTAGCCTCGTCTGTGTTTTGAATGAGTGATCCTTTTTTAAAAGGAAGCGTGGGCCTATTAGTTCTAGATTATCCAATAAACAAGAAACATCCTCTTCTCATCCAAACTGGAGTTTAGGAGGTGATGATTGACAATGAATACAAAAACTTAGCCTGCCCAACCTTTCCTTGTAAGACAACCCACCCATTCCTAGTAATAGCATGGTATTCTTCTTAGAACTGCTTCCAACGTATTTACATCCCTTCTTAATTTAAGATTTCTACATGCTATTGACATGTGCTTGCTGAGCTGAATTCGGAAAAAGACTCAAGCTCACTTAAAGTTTTTGATAAGCTTTGTGGCTCAAGTCGTGGATGAGGTTGCAGACTTCTTCGCCAAGCCAGTGTGTTCGACTGCAGATGTTTCGTCACCCCACTAGGTTACATAGTCAGTGCGCCTCCGGTGAAGCATTGGTGTTCTGTCCCGCTTGTTACTCATATGCCTCAGTTTGCTGGGGTGGTTGGTATTACTTCCGTTTCTGTTTTTCAGTGGTTTGTTATCAGGTCCAGTTCAATGTGTCTGTTGACAGGGTGCCGGTTGAAATGCAGGGAATGCCTGGCCTCGAGGAACTCCCTGGCATGTCTCAGTTTGGCTCGTGCTATCATGAATGTGTTGTCCTTGTCGATAACATGTTGGACATAACACTGGAGGCGCACTGATGATGTTACCTAGCAGAGTAACAGAACGTTTGCAATCAAACCCACCATCTCAGCGAGAAAGTCTGCAACCTCACTCATGGTCATTATTTAAAACTCCATTCTTAATCTTTTACTTGGTTATGACGAAGTGCTAAGCTATTCAGTTCTGCAATTAAAAGAAAAATTAGGAAGCTACAAAAAAATCTGCTTACAGCTGATGATACCTGGGTGCAGTTCAAGGCACTTCTGAACCATAAACATTTCAATTTCAAATTTCAAGCCCAATGCCACAGTTGTTGATGCAATTTGTGCTCAAGTCCAGGACTCTCCAAGTAAGCACTTTTGACTGTGATCAGGGTATCTTGGGAAAAGTCACCCAAGATCAAGCAATTTTAAAAAAAAAAGAAAACCTACAGTGATGCCAATAACTCAATGCACACTGAGCTTCACAAATAAATACTTTTGCTTGTAATACAAAATTCCTCGGAACTTTGCAGTCTAACCATTTGAGGTGATGACATGGAGTAACATCAGATAACTTTATAGTTACACATCCACACTCCACCACTTCAACTGTTAATTAGCAGCTGTGGAAGCATTGCAGTAAAGGTTAACATTATGCATTCCTTCAAAGCATGGTCAGTTTTAATTTGACTATGACGAGCTATCAACTTGCATTATGTATATTTTAACCGATAATCTATTACTTTTAGTTCCAGGGTGAAAAAAAAAAAGGAACATTTTAACCTGATTAACGAAAAAAGCAACAACTAGCATTTATATAACTCAATCCATGTATTAAGCCAAGTGACCAAAATCTTGATCAAAAAGAAGACATTTAAAAAGTAAGGAGGTGGAGATGGAGACATTTTGTAAAAGGAATTTGAGCACTTTGAGACAAGGAAGCTAAAAGGCACAACTGTCAGGTGGTGAAACAATTAAAATCAGGACCATGCAAGAGGACTAGGTTGGAGAAGTGCACTATCTTAGGTGTGTTAAGACTGCACTAAGTCACATTTATGGAGGAATTTGAGGACAACACCTTGTATTCACCTAGCAGCTTTAATATCATAAATCTTCTCAGAATTTGGCAATCAATTCTGCAGCTTTAAAACTGGAGCAGTACAGATAACTCACAAGGTTGTAGGACTGGATAAGACTGCAAGGATAGAGAGGGGAAAGGGCATCAAGAGGTTTGAAATCAACAATGAGAATTTAAAATGCTTAAATGGAGGCCAATATACGTCAGTGAATACAGGGGTATTAGATATAGAGGACTTTGTCTGAGTTAGCACATGCCACGTTTATTCAGGGTAGAATGTGGGAGGCAGGCCAGAAGTTCACTGGAATGGGGACATCGAGGAATATAACTTAAGGCATAAGGGAGGATTTCAGCAAATGAAATGAGGCAGGGGCGAAATGATATAGTGATGTTTGAGTAGTTCTTTTTACTGTCTTTATTCTAGAACTTCAAAACTAAAATTTCAGCTTCCAGGTGACATCAGCTCACAGTGAGGATTGGAGTCCAGCTGTACTCTTCCTGGCTCATATACCTTAATTACTTAATGGTACATGGAAACTTCAAAAAAGCTTTCTTATTCCAACTGAAACATACCAACTTTGTACTTTATGGTTAACCCACTAGCAACAAGAAAAAAAATCTTGCGTACAGAATGAAGGCTTTTTCGTCCATGTCTGTACCAAATCTTCAAGTGAGCATTTTTACCTAGTGCCAATCGCCTGCTTTTACTTCCCAACCCGCCACCCCGTCCTCCAAAAAACACTCTTACACATCATTTTTATCCAAATTAATGGTCCAAAGCCCTAATGAATATGTCAGCAAGTTATTTCATTTGTTTCAAAGAACAAGATTAGTCCAGATCAATCTGGGAAAAACATTCAGCTGGACAAAAAAAAAGTGAAAGTACACTGCAATGGAGACAACAGCACTCAAAATACACAAGTGTGGCAGGCAAATCTTTCCTCTAAACCATCATAGGTAGCTTGACAAAATGCCAAAAATGTGGGCAGAAAATTCAAAAAAGACGACCACGAGACGATATTACTCTACA